AGAGCATGCACGCCGTCCTTGCCCAGGCTCATCATGGCATATAAAAATTTCTCTTCATACGACACTTTTTGTTTTTCTGACGATTTTTATAGCAGCATTGTAAGAAAATTCTTTCATTTTAAAGGTGCTGTCTGACAGCTAAAAAATCAAACCCATAGCTTTTTTTTTCTGTTTTTTTGTTGAGTAAGAGTTTGTGCATCCGGGGTGCCTCCTTGCCTAGTAGTGATATTGTCATTTCGGTTGATTTACATATGTGCATCCGGGGTGCCTCCTTGCCTAGTAGTGATATTGTCATTTCGGTTGATTTACATATGTGCATCCGGGGTGCCTCCTTGCCTAGTAGTGATATTGTCATTTCGGTTGATTTACATAAGAAAAGAATGAACGGCCAATAGTAGACGAAGCGATACCGACTGAGCAGTAGGCACCGATCCCTACCCACGTCAGCGCGACGTGCGCGACGTGCGCCTCGGTAGGTTGCTATTTGAACATTGCGGATGAATAGTGGCTAGCGGTGCCGAGGGCGTGGAAGGAGTCCAATAACAGGCTGAAGTTGAGCTAGTTGGTACATAATGCAAACTATGTACCAACTAGCTGACCGTTTACTTTTGCGTAGGAGCCTCTGGAGCAGAACCGCTGCTCTGGAGCATTCAGCATTTTTGCATACAGAAGAAACAAACGTGACGGATCTTGGCAAAATAAATAAATAAAACATACGGAATCGCGATATGCAAGCAGGCGAACAGATTTAAAAATGTGAGTGCAAAGGATCGGCGCAATCAAATGTTCGCGCTCACTGATCTCAATGACAATTGCTGGATCGCGCTTGCCGCTCCCGCAAGTGAAGCCACCGGGCCTCACCAATACCACCTAGAACACAAGGCCTGCGCGTTTCCTCCTCTAAACGTCATCATTAGTAGATCCCCTCAGCGCCCCCTAGCTAGCCCGGATGAGCAACATCGTCTGCTACATCGTCTGCTCCATCGCCTGCTTCAGTGGTTTGTGTAACAGATAATGAAACAGATGCTCACGCCGAATGTCTCTTGCAAATAGCATACGATGAAGTTAAGACGTTCACGTGGAGCGTCAAATGCATGAGCGAAATTGCCTTACTGCTGCGCGAAGGGCTGAAAAGCCCTTCGTTGGACGCTGGACGCTGACACTGGACGCCATTTTCGAGGGCGCTGTTTATACCTCGGGTAGCTGCTTCGAAGCGTTCTACCGCAGAACGAGCGCGCGCGCTAGAAATGCGCGTCTCAAAGCCAGGAGCGCGTGCTAGCTCGCGCTCCTGGCCGAGGGAGCGTTCGCGTGCACGTCGCAAATGCACTGGAAGCTCGCTATTAGCTCGCGCTCAGCAGTCACGCACACAGCTGCGGCCGCAAGTGAATGCGACGTAGTCACGTAGTTGCGACGCGGCCCCTACTCTCCTCAAGCTTCGGGCTGTTTGCCGCTTGGGGCGGGTCGGGGATCTACTAACGAAACGTCATGCGCAGGCCTTGTCTTCTAGGTGGTATTGGCCTCACTCGCTTGGGATACGATTTGCCGTTTTTGCTAGCCTTTGCTGCGGTTTTCCAGCGTGCTGACGACACGTTTTCTACTCGTTCGTCGTCATTCGCCGAAGAAGTTTTTTGAAGACTCTGTGTATTGTTGAGACTTGCCGTTGTGAACACGTGGAAAAGTTTACGAAAGTGCAGTGTCGCAGGAAAAAGGCACAACGCGTCGAAAGGAAGGGCTGGCGGCGTGTTCAAAGCATCCTTGGCACGCCGAAGTGCCGTGTCTCTGTGCCTTCGCGCGCTTGGATACCGACCAAGAACCGACGCCGTGTGAATGTGTTTAGCGAGTGCAATGTGCGTGAAGCCGTATCAAAAGGTACAACTCGTCGAAAACGTGTCGCCGGTGTCGCGGCGTGATCAAAGCTTCCTTGGCACGCCGAGTGATGCATCTTTGTGCCTTCGCACGCTTGGATACCGGTCAAGAATTGACGCCGCGCCAAAGTTCTGAACGTGTGTCGCGCGTAGATGCCTTTAGATCATTTATATATATCGGCCACGGAGTTCTGGATCGTCCAGCTGTTCCGGTGAGTTGCTATCAATAAAAGGGGGAGATCTGTACGTGTTCTTATGTACTATATTAACCATGGCTATGTCCCAAATCTACTCTAATAGATTCCGTGGGAGCACGAATAGGGCAACGTTGTGGAGCCAGGGGGGTTTTCGAAAGCAAAAGTACAAGACGGCGAGAATGAAAATCTTTGAAGCGCGGCCGATATGGTCGTGTGCAATGTGCTGACCAATTACAATTAGGCGAGCCGCGCTCAAACGTCAAGTGCAATTAAGTAGGTTGATAATAAGCCAGCACTGATCAGTGATGAGGAGCTGTTGTGCACGGTATTGTGTAAATCGTCTAAGGACGAAAAAAAGACGTACCTTCTCCCCATCTTCCGTCGCTAGTGGACGCTGGATTAAGCTCGTTCCCTAAACTGCGAGAGGGAAAGACGCTGATCCAGAGGCACGAACAGCTTCACGCACATTGCACTCGCTGAACACATACACACGGCGTCGGTTCTTGGTCGGTATCCAAGCGTGCGAAGGCACAGAGACATGGCACTTCGGCGTGCCAAGGATGCTTTGAACACGCCGCCAGCCCTTCCTTTCGACGCGTTGTGCCTTTTTCCTGCGACACTGCACTTTCGTAAAATTTTCCACGTGTTCACAACGGCAAGTCTCAACAATACACAGAGTCTTCAAAAAACTTCTTCGGCGAATGACGACGAACGAGTAGAAAACGTGTCGTCAGCACGCTGGAAAACCGCAGCAAAGGCTAGCAAAAACGGCAAATCGTATCCCAAGCGAGTGAAGCCCGGTGGCTTCACTTGCGCTGCAGCGAACAAGCGGGGAAGCGCGATCCAGCAATTGTCATAGAGATCAGTGTTCGCGCTCTTGACGGTCGTGTTGTTGCGACACCTTTAGTCTACATCGTTAACTACTGCGCAAGTTTTAAAGGTAGCAATTTTAAAATAATTTAATAATTGGCTTAAACAGATATTTTCTGCTAATTATAAAACTAGAGATATTGTTATACATTTTCTATTGGCTTTACTTTGCGTTACTATGTCAAAATCTAGCAACACAACGCGGAATAGACTACTTCCATAAAGCCCTGCATGCAACACGGCGCGCGTTGCACTCTGGGAACTAGTTGGCCAGGGAGGAGGGTGGCATGGTTTCGGTTTCGATCGACACGTCGACAAGACATTGTTTTCTGGTCCCGAGAGCGTCATTTGTGGTCTCTAAACTGACCTAAATTGTCATACCTCGAAGCTTTAGCACAATCCCGAGACGTATAGCTTGTCTTAACACATGCTTGTCGTATTTTTGTACTTGAGCCTTCCTGTTAGCGTTCCAATCGAGGTATGTGGACGAGCCAGTGCTGGGAGTCTCGACGCTGCGAAGCTCGGGTGCTCGGGGATCTTGCTTGTGTACGAATCAACAAGCTGTAGCAACCAATAAGTATACATACATCGAGCTCGCGCCTTTACATTAGTGTTGTTGATCAGGAAGTTTGTTTCGTGCGTCCATAGACGAAATATTACTTTTTGCAATTACTGTTTTTCTTAATGTGCCTGAGTACGCGAGGTAAAACTCGGAGGTGCCATTGAAAAGCTCAATTTTAACACACTTATCTCTTATCTGTACTGACCCGCAGCACTGCACGAAGTGAAGTCCCCACCCACTTGCATTCCACTAATTCCACTAATATTCAACATCGCGTATGCGCATAAAGTTATCCTGCAATCATATAGGCAAATTCGCGCATACAGGCCGTTTTAAGAATGCAAAAGTCGAGCACTTGTGTGAAGAATGTCGCACCGTTCGCCGGCAGTGCGTCATGCCCGTCCGGCGCACGGTGCGACATTCTTCAGACAAGTGCTCGAACGAATTCAAAGCGCATTTGACGGCTGCTAATGGCCATAATATTTGTTATGTGTTTGCTTTCTTCCTGCCTGAGTATGCCGAGATAATTTCAGACATACCGTTCCCGGCACAGATCTCGGGCGTCAGTAAAAGCTCGTCCAAAAAGGCTTAGCGAGGAGTAGAGGACGCTTGTTAGGGCCTCCGTCGTAGCTAGCCGATCTCAGCGTTTGCGAAAAGTTAATCTTCTATCAGCATAAAATTCTAGTGGGAGATATATATGACACGAGGAAGACATCATAGTAACTTTTGTGCAGTAGTGAGGTCGAATTTATTGCGTTTCCTTAAAAGTTCATGCGTAAACGCTGGCCTCAACTTTGATACCCTGTGAGAATGCGGCTTGCTTTTCGCCCAATGAAGTAACGAGAAGCGGACATTTGGCAAACAAAATGCGTGTAAGGCTCCAGACGAACAAATTTCAGTTGTAGTTCACTGGTACTAGACGGGATTACTAACATTGAGCTCAAAGATGCACTCGTGGGGTGAGGTGACAAAGCCGACTTACTACGTTCGCATACGCACGCACAATATTCGGTGTTTCGGGACCCAAGGAAAGTGCCCCGGTCTTCGTTTTGTATCGCTCGAGGATGAGTGTATTGTACGTTCGTGAAAAGTCAGATAATCGAAAACGCAAGCAGCGCGTTCGGTCGCGGCGTGATAGCATGAGATGAAGCTGCTCAGTCGAAACCGAAACTGAGTGGCCAACTAGTTCCCAGAGTGCACTGCGTGGTATTTCGCCGCGATGGGGCGCGTCGGTTTTGGAAGAAGTCCATTACCAGGCAGCAGCCAGGCAGGCAGGGTAAACATGTAAGAGTGAAGAGTTGGGCTGGTTGGTGATTCATAATATTCAAATAACGCAACGATACACGGACAAAGAAGATAGCGCTGTGTCTCTTTCTATCTTTATTGTCCGACAGCGCTGTCTCTCTGTCTTGTTGTCGTGTCTTGTTGTGCTCTAGATGGCGCAAGCTACCGCCCGTTATAGAGTACAAGCATCTATTAGCATCACAGCATCTTTTGCACAGAGCTTTTGCATCATCTATCCGTCCATCCAGCCAAGGCATCCAACGTTTTTCTTTCAAAACAAACTCAACTCATCTGTAGCGAGCGCAGATGGCTTTTCCCGCGCTAAGTTTTAAAAACTTGTATCTTCAACCGTGGTTCCTGCAGTACGACGGTTAACAGCGCCTTCGACAACCCGACCTCGACACGAGAAAAGCAGTGAGTTTTCGCGTTTAATTCTACGCAACGACGCCGTCCGTAGAGCTGTCAACGTTAGGCTTATACCGAGATTCAAATGGGCGATCTCGACAATTTGGTCAGCAACACCCTTTCGGTGTTCGCCGACCTTCCATTCGACCTTCTAGATGCGGACTGGATCAGCGCAGCATGGGAAAACAAATACACCGACGTCGCGCCGGCCGACGTCAACTTACTTGACTCGTGCGAGGGCAACGCGTACGCGCTCCTCGACGAACTCTCGAGCGCCTGCGACGTCTGTCAGATGTGGTACCGCTTTTCGGGCCTCGACGAAACCGAGGACGCCAACACCGACGAGAAGCTGTGGAAGACTCTCATGGACAACGGCGTCCACTACAAGGCCTTGCTGGGCTTGCTGTACACCGGCATCAGTCACGGGAGTTCTTCAACCGCTAGCGTCGTGCACAAGAAGATCGCCCTGCGGTTCGCCAAGTTGTACTTCAATCTCGTCCTCGTTCCGGGCAGCAACGCGTACAGGATTTTCCAGGAGAGCCTCTTTGAAAGAGCCATCCAGACCTTGCGCCTTCCGAGCAAGAACTCTGTGGGTTCCCTGGACGGCGGTGGCAGCAGGAACGCTTCGCAAATGACTGGATCGCGGGGCTCGAAACACGCGGCTAAAAAGAAGGCGGTCAGTCAGCAAGAAAACCTGGACATGGACGGTTCAGATGGCGCTTCCGTCGTTCACGAAGTCCTCTCCGAGGAGGCACTCCTCGAGTTCCTTGGTTTCGTAACCGACGCGCTCAAGGACCTCGTCTGCATGCTCCAGCAGTTCAGCTTGCGCCAGTACGGCGAAGCGACCGAGTCCATGATTCAGCAACTCTGCGAACTCACCCAGTTCGACATCCCGGGTGCCAGTGTCTCTTTCAGCATTGACCGGGTCCAAGACTACCGAAACTGGAACTACCGCTACCTCACGACCTTTGCCTACTGCGCGCTCAAGCTCCTCTGTCTTCCCCAACACGGGGATCCGGGGGACAACTTTCGCTTCGCCGCCAAGAACCTGATGCCCCACATACTGATGCTCTCTGCCGGCAATGCACAGACCGTAGGCAAGCCCTTCACCAGTATCCGGGACAACGCTGTTTCCTTCGTTACCCACGTTGCAAGCAAATGCGATGCCTCTCTACGAGAAAACTTTCAAGAGACCCTGCTCGTGCTGATCCACAACTTGGCGTTCAGTGCCGTCGACCGGACCGACTTCCGGCTCAAGACTGGACAGGCCGTCCTGACCGTCATGGGGGAGCTCGAAGACGAAATGTTCCTGCGTGCGGTGCACTGGTTCACCAAGCTGGCGACGTCGCCGATGAGCTCGCGGCGTGTTTTTGCGCTCGAGATGATCCTGCTGCTCATCTGGGACCAGAGGGTGGTGGACAAGCGGTCTGAGCTCCTGCTGACCGCCATGAAGCGCTGCAACGACAAGGTGGCCACGGTCAAGGCCAAGGCGCTGAGTGTGCTGGCGAGCGTGACGTCGGAGCGTGCCGAGTCCTGGGTGCCGCTGCTCAAGGTCTCCGGGGAGGTGGACCCCGAGGAAGAGGGTGCCGAGGGGCAGCAGGTGGCCGTTGAGGATGACCGTCTATCGCAGCTCATGGAGGTGCTGAAGTACCGGGTGGAGGACCCCAAGGTGAATGTGCGTAAGGCCGCGCTCTCTCTGCTCCAGAACGTGCTCTGCGCCAGCGCGGACTTCGCCAAGGAGGAGTACCTTGAGGTGAAGGCCGTTTTTGTTCTCTGGGTGCCGTCATGGGGTGCTCGTGCCACCGTTGTCGTGGGGTCGATCTACCACGCTGGTACTTTTGCGTGGAGCAACATACCTTCGGCTAGCTACTTTTGTGTCGTCGCATTCGTGGTTTCCACAGGGGTAATGGAAAGGTCCGGCTAGCGGAACTGTTTTGGGGGTTCTGTTGCGGCTCACAAAAACGTCGGATGAAGTAGCCGAGGCGATATAAAAGGGTCTCTTTGGTGCCCAAAGTTGTGAACTTTGTGAGTGTGGGGTCGGTGGTAATCTAAATGTGCTTGGAACAATAGTTGGAAGGGAGCACACCACTGACTGCAGCATTCTGCGTGAGTATCGGAGTAGAGTGTTGGAACACATTAGCTGCGTTTGATTTACCTGCACCAGTGTAGAAAAGTGTAGGGCAGTGTACTTCCGGTCGTATCTCAAAACACATACCGGAAGTAGGCTGCCTTACACTTTTCTGCACCGGTGCAGAAGGTGCAGGTAAATTGAACGCAGCTATTCTGTGGGAGGGAGTGTAGAAGCAAGTTGTTGGTTTCGAGATAAAAGATTGGGCAACCATTTTCTTTGTGTTCATAGTCCCTCAAGTGCAATCTTGCAACATTTTGACTTGAACAGGAATGCTTTGCTGGAAAGACATTGCTGTGCTTTGGCATTGTGCACAACTCATATTTTTGAAAGCGTAGCAAACAGGTTCATCCTTTGGGCCATCAAGGAAAAGAGGGACAGAGAACATGGGTGCAATATGCTATCATTAGACAAAACCATATCATTGGCTATTCCAGTTTTTGTTTATTTACTGCAACAAATAAGCAAATTTACCGCATTAAATAAACGAAACCGGTATTGCCAAGGATATAGTTTGTTTTAATGAAAACATATTTCTGGTACTCAACTGAAACAAAAGTGCAGATTTTTGTTTTCAGCGCGGAGTTTTAACAACTTGTTAAAGCACAAGTTTTGAAGTGCAAAAGAAGCATTATTTTTAGCACTATAAAAATATAGAATAAAAGGAAAGTGACATACAGAATGTAGACTGGACAAAACATGTGTTTTTCCCGTCTTCATTCGATGTCACTTTCATTTTATCCCTATAACTTACCAGCACACTCCAATTTGTTGAGATACTCTCTTCTCTGTTTTGTTGTTGCTCATGAAATTGCTCCCATTTGCCTGTTCTACTCTTGCCATTGGTATTCGTTTGTTGGTGGGCAACCTTTGCTCTTCAAGATAGCGGCCCTCTTGTTGCTGAAGCATAGGAGCTGCGCTTTCTGGCAGATTGATCGACTGTGCCAGCCCAGAACAAGTTGAACCTGTTCATTGACATGTTTCTCAGTTGGTCACTGTACGTGAATTAAAGCAGCGATGCGGGTAAGTTGGTTCATGCTTGAGGGAGAAATGCACTGCATGCAAAAGAAGACATGCAACGAGTGAAAAAGAAGACCTGTGGAAGGGTGTACATCGGATGAAAAGGTCACTGTGTGAATGAAAGGGCGCATGATCATGCCAGTTGTTACAAGTTATGTCAAGAGGGCATTCATCTCTACATTGTTCGACATTTAAGTGTCAGCCCATGTTTGCTCTGACTGCAATCATTAGAGGAGGCTAAGACCAAACGTCTAGGGAACTGTTGGAAGCATATACTATTAACAAAGTAGAAAAATGCACCTGCAAGACATATATCGGTACATCTAGGTAAGAAAGAGACAGCACCTATCTGTATGTGTTGATTATTAGACAGCACCTATCTGTATATGTTCATTACGTCGAAACATTATTTTCTCCGTTTTTCCAACACGTGTTAGTTACGAGCTCAATCTTTTTTGCTTGTCCTTAGTCTTATTTTGCGTGCCGTGCATTTGTCCTGCACCTGTTGAACACGTTTTCATCTCCCGTGCAACCCATTAAGACATTCACTTGCTTCGACCTTTGGCGAAAAAATTGCCGTGCTTCCTCACCGCTGCACCAAGGCCTTTAGGTTTCCGAACTTAGGATATTGCGACTTATCTCCAGATCCTGACGGAGAGTTGCCTGGACCCAACGGTGCTGGTGCGCAAGCAGGCCCTGCAGAGCCTGACTCGCTGCGTCCAGGCGCACCCGGAGAAGGAGTCCGTGCAGCGGCTGTGGCTCTCGGGGGCCCTGCCCCTGGTGCTGGATCCAGAGAGTACGGTGCTGGAGAAGGCGGTGGAGACGGTGGAGGAGCTGGTGGTGGGGCCCCTGTGCCAGAGGGGGGACTGCCAGCTGGCCTGGAGCCTCTTGGGCCAGGTGGGACAAGCCAGGTTCAAAGACCACCACAAATACCTGCAGCAGGCGGTGCTGCAGTTGCATCGTTTGGGCAAGATCAGGTGGGCCCCCATCGCCGGAAGGAATACCGCTGCCATTATTAGTATCGCCACACCAATGGTGGCCTTCTGTTGGCTCGTGAACACAAGAGCCAAAGGTGTGCCTCCAGGTGTATGTTGCAACGCCTGTGCATTCGAGATGTAAATGCACTGCACGAATTGAATACGAGTACTGCACTAGCGTTAATTATGGGTTGGTCCTGTCAGTCTGTTGGTAAACTCTTAGTTCAATAACGATTTTTTTTAAAGGCCTTAATAATATTTTTATTTTGTGTGAACTGATTGTCCCACTCTCACCATCAAAACAAAAACAAAAAAACTGAAGAACAACTATAGTAGTACATTGTGGAATTTATGCTTTGATTGAGGACATGTCTGCTCGCCTGTACGCACCTCAATTTGAGTTGAACAGACCGATCGCACAACCAGTTTCATTATGCCACCTCTGTCGCCGTGCATTGTGGGAGCTGTAGTCTTTCTGCATGTTCAACAACACCGCTGAGAGTCTGCGCAAGCAGAGACACGAGGTGGCACCAGCAGTCTCGGGAATTGTCGCCTGGCTCCTGTGAACTACAGTTGTGGCGGTGTCACGCATGTCTGGAACGCTTAGTGAGCTCGGTCTATTGGAGTTTGTGCAATCTTTCTCTAGTGCCGCAGTGAAAATGACTAAAACAAAGTTCAATTATCATTTGCATCTCATTGTTGAATTTTTCCTAAAATATACGGCACGACTAGAAAATACTGTTGCCACAAAATTTCTGAAAAATTAATTTTATCTAATTAGATGGTGCGTGCACTTGGTAACGTACGGACACGTGTCATCCCCTTATAGTGGGAGGAGCATGCTTACACGAGCCAGGGCGCATGCCTGCAGTAGTCCCTTGTGCAGTCAAACGTCCAGACGAGTGGTTTTCAACCACCAATGTTTCAGGGACCCCTTCTGGATCGGCGGAGGTGATGGGAGACACCATCCAACCAGCCCTAAGCTGACAGTGCGGTGGAAGCTATACGCTTGCTGGACCAATCGTCTGCCTCCCTTTCGTTACTTGACCCCGCGCGTAGGTACGGGCCCTGATTGGCGCGGTGGAAGAAAGACGTACGACTGGTCCTTCGAGCACGTAGCTTCCACTGCGCCGTCAGCTTCGGGGTGAACGGAGCGTAGCATGCACATTATTGTTTACACAATCTGTAGGCTTGTTTGCTGCTTTATTGCGTTGACATTGAGACCCAGAGATGTTTCTCGGCTAGTCATCGGGAAAGATGGGAGTTCCCCAAGGTCGTTTGAGGACATGGTGTGAACTGTCTCGGTCCTTGACCGGAACACATGCTTTCGTTCTCGTCCTGCCGGTGACTACTCTAGTTCAACTCATGATTTACCGTGACGGATGCTACGAGCTACGCGAGCCAATCAGTCCTTCGTAGCTTGCTCGTGGGACAGGAAAGGACACGCGACGCCCTTGAGCTGCAAATTGGCTCCGGTGGCTCGTGGCATCCTTTGTGGTCCATCGTAAGTTGGAAGAAAGTATAGAGTCTGGGAGCGTGAGTGCACTTTGTAGAATGGGAAAACGTGAAATTCCCATAAAATGGGAGGGGGGCACGACTGAAGGCATGTGCTAGTAACCTTACAGTAGCCCCTCGTGTAGTCGAACGTCCGGCATGCGTCAGTCGGTGACCGCAGCACGTGCCTGCGACACAGGGTGTCGGAGCTGCACTCCCTGAAGCAGCACGTGGGGGGCCCCCACAACGCCTCGGTGTGGCTGCTACTATCCAAGCTGACCCTGTGCTGCGACCTGGGCGAAGCCGGCTTCGTCCTCAACTACTGGGAGCAGCAGCAGCTGCGCCTGCTGGACGGCCATGGCGACCCCCCCGGCATGCCCGCGGCCTCCACCGACACCATGAAGCACATGTTCCAGGTCTTGCAGAAAGTGGCCCACCACCTGCCTACCATGTCCCTCAGGAAGCTCATAGGTGAGCGCCGCACCTCCTTTCTCGGAGTGTACGCCGTCCCAACGAGATATGCGCGGTCCTTTTTATTGAGATGCCTTTCGTTTCCTTTTTTCGTTATCGGACGAATGTTTCCTGGAGTACGGCTTTGCGAGAATTCGCTTCCTTGTGTTTTTGGGAAAAACTTCGTTACCGTGGTGCCCTATGGAAGCCCTCCCTTTTTAAGGAATATTTTGTGCTCCGTGGACAGAAAGTAAGGCCGCTTGATGTCTTTCTTAAAATATCGGCAGTTGCCAAGGGGAGAAAGCTGAGGACACATGGCCTACTCGAGTTTTGGGCAAGAAACGGTGCATTTTACTTTATACTACTTTAGTTGACAACGCATTGATTTTCTTCTAAAGGGACTCCACAAGGCACGGGCCTTGTGCTTGTTTCGGCATGTGAAAGTAATGCATCAGAATGCACGAGAGGTTCCCGTCTTATAAATAATTTTCTAAGTTTTCTTTTTTTTTTTTTTTTAAATTGGGAGTTTATTGGAGTTATTTTTAGATTCCCAATTCTTCGGAATTCGGAGTTCAATTCTACAGTGTTCTTTTTATTAAAAAAAAAAAAAAAAAGAAATTTTATATATATATGTATATAATATCTGGATGTAAATGGTGCTAGATTCAAAAGAATGCACTTGTATGAAATATTTCCTCAGCTGAATTTGGCATTGGCACCCTTGCCATTAGAGATACTAATCTGTTTCACAACAGAACTTCTTCGATAAACATCAATACCTTATAATCACTAAGCTCCTGGAAATAGTCGCTGGGAAGCTCATTTTCATCCCATGCTATTCCGTCACCTTATCCCGTGGGGTAAAGTGGTAAAGGGTGTAGTAATGTAAAAGCTTCAACTGCCCCTCACTTACCCCTTCCATGCATTCTTGATGGTTCATAGCTTTCCCCATTACAAAAACTCAACCCCTCTTTCTAAGAAGCACAAGTGGTGCGGTCCAAACTGGAAGCCCAAACAGTGGCGCTTTTGTCTTGACTCAGAAGTACAATAACCTGTTGCCTCGAATGAACCTAGACAAAATAAGCAATAAGATTCCTTTTGCCAATGATCCAGGATTTGAGAGGAAACAAGTCGCATTTTCTCAGGACCGTAGATTCTGTGGTGTGACCAAACTTGTAATATATACCGTCTTGTTTATTTCTTTTTTCTTTTGCCTCATAACGTCGAAATTTAGAGTTTGTCGGATAAATTCGAATCAACACAAATTTTAGAGGCGAGTGTTTTTCACATTTTTATCAGATTTATTCAAAAACACAGAACCATAAGCATAACCCAGCTTTTTCTGAAGAAGTCCTCGCAAGTTGACCGCCCTGTATACTACTACACACACATCAACCGTTACGATCAATGTACAAGCAAATGACGAGGAACAGATTATGCCCGGACCCAAGAGCGAGTGAGACAATCTGCCTTTTCGTAAAATTGCGGTAGTCTGGTTGTTTTCAAAACGATGCAGCAATGCCCGTCATGCACGGCGACTTCTTCCCACAAACCCCGACAGGAAATGCACCCGAGACGCCTTCACCGTGGCGTGACGGTAAGAGTTGAGTTGACGTATAGGGAGGTTTCAAGTGACATATTACCCTATCACTAAACTTCCACCGTATGTCTTTCTTTGCACGCACGGATGCAGTGTTTTCCGGCTTGGTCAAGTTTCCTTGTGTCATATTTGACCGCGTTGACGAAGTAGTTAGCCATGTCTGACGAAGTAGTTGGCGACACAAAGGAACATCATCTGGTACTCAGTTTTTTTATGCATATCAGCCTTGATTCAGACATACAACGAACTGGCGATCAAAAAGTCGACCCGTCGGCGACCATAGAGGCTTCAGTGGGTGCCGCCCGGGCGACTTCGGGAAATAAAATACAAATCCGGATTAACTGAGATAAATCCAACCCAAACGCATCCCCAATCGTACATACCTCTTTGTCGTCGACGGAGCCACTCGGCATGCTTCAGCATTTCACCAATGTCATAAACATTGCCAATAACTAAGCGTTTGCGTGTAATGAATGGCAAAAGTGGTGGACGCTGTTTATTGACGTGGCGGGACTTGGATTACTCAAAAGGAAAAGGTGTTTCAGCGCACAATCACTGTTTGCAACTCAACACCCTATAGATGGCGGGGCGGTACATCCAAGATGGTGGAAGAGACTGGGATAGATTCTTGTGCGCCTGCTCGCTGAAGCTGGTCAGTGTGCTTAAATTAGTTTATTTAGCTACAGATGTGAAATGGTCAAGACAGATGTGCATCGCAGGTGATGGAAATGTGGACGTACGTTAGGAAAACCAGCATGTTGTTTCTTGGAAGTTGCAAAAGACGCTTTGTGGAAGGCGAGCGTGTTTTGGGCGCCGGTCACATAGTTGTGTGTGGCAAGATAGTTTTGTGGGTGGTGAAGATGCTATCATGGCGTTTGCGCTGTGCCTGGCCACCAGTTCTTTAAAACGTGAGCCACACATGGTGACTGAGCTCCGGTGGGACAGCGTTCACAGTATTAATGCCTCTGTCAGATGCCCACAGCTCACTGCATACTGTTGTGGTTGTAGTGTATTACAACACGTGATCAACCTGTGCCACGATTACTAGTAGTAGGCAATTTCAGCATGGTGGAGCATTGCGACCAGAAGTTTGCGCTGCACCTTTGAAGCATAATTTTCAACGCACGCCAGGAGCGTTGCCGTAGCCACGGCAGCCTGTGGTAACACTATGCAAGAACTGCATTAATGATGCCATTGGCATGTTTAGAGTTTTATTTATTACTCTGTCAAAAGAAATATTCAAATGTACAGTATACTACGCCCGTGTACCGTGTTGTTTGCATCGCCAAGACCCGCCTCGCCAAAACTGCCCGTTCTGAACACACCTCACGATCGGCACGCAGACGCGCCTAAAATGCTATGAGCATTTCTTTATTTGTTTTTGTAATTAACTGGAAGCAGGTATGCGTAGAGTGTCTTCTGGAAGTGCTTGGAGAAAAATGTCACACTTCATGTCACGGCCTTTTGGCGCATAAAATGCGAACCCATTTCTGATGTCTATCGCTCTATACACCTTTGCACAAGCAGTTCTCTCCTACTTTCTGTAAAGAATAAACTTTTTGTAGATCGTACGCAAAAGCTTTGCACTACTAGCGGGAGGTTTTACCGTCACGTCGAGCGCAGATTACGCTGGCGACCGCTGGAGACATCCCGGTCTCCTTGTGCAACGCTGTTGCGAAGCAGACCACAGCAATTCCTATTTTAATGCCACTCGGTTTTTCCCTAAAAACTGCATGATGTGCAAACAGATCGACCAGAACAGCAGCACCAAGGCCGACTGTCCGCCGCCGTCCCAGGCTCCTCTGGTTCTCTGCTCGTCCGTGAGAGGGGGGGCGGCGTTGCTGGTGTTGCAAGTACGGGTAGAGATCCCGCTCTCGTCTGATGCCTGTGCCTTGCCGCCGCTTCTTCAGGGGACCTTGAGCAGCGGCTGAGCCAGCTGAGCCTGCCCGTGGCAGTGATGTCCCGGGCGGTGGACTGCCTGCACAGCGTCAGCCTAACGGTCCACAAGGAGCGTCCCGAGCTGGGAGAGAGGGCGGTCCAGAACTGGTGCAAGCAGATGATTGAGGTGGGTGCAGCCCCTTGCTCCTGCAAATGACCCGCGGTCTTTCTCAGATTCTGTGGCTGCACATAGAACCCCTCTTTTGATCCTTTCTAAAGTGGGACACAAACACTGACTTGTGGAGTTTGGTTGGTTTTTTTTGTGACTCTGCTGACAAGGGCTGGCTTTGTCTCAGGTGTATAAACGACTAGCGGAAAGTGACTGCTCAGCTCGCCTTTACTTGCAGTGATAAAAAAGAGGAGTTACACTTGCTTAGATTGTTAGAACCAGTAATACTTTCATTTCTGTGTGTTTTGAGTGGTTTATATTCCACAGTTTTAAGACTATCATTATTTTTTCTCCTATGTGCGAGATTACGAACCTGAGCCTCTATGCTTTTTGTCTGCGATCCACTTCTCCTGCCGACAGATTGTCAGCAAGAATTAATCGGCAATTCGTGAGGTGGTTAAAAAAGTTGACATAATTAGTATAACCCACTTTTGACGTCGCCACGTCCCAGACTCGTACACCGTTTGCACGGGAGAAGAATGAGTATGGTATGTATTGGCAACTCTGGGGCAGACCTTCTAGGGGTGCAAAACTATCAATAGTGGAAATCAAGTCAAGTCTACTATTGTAAAACTACCGATAGCACTATCGATGGTATACTATCGATAGTCGACTATCGCAAGACTGTCGGTGGTGCAATCATACTATCGATAGTCAGCTATTGTGAAGCTATTGATAGACAGCTGTTGTGAAACTTCCAACAGCTGACTATCATAAAGCTACCAATAGTATTTTATTAGGCGATAGAACCTCAAGAGTCCATCTAGAAAATGTGAAGCTCGGAGAAAACCAAACTGCAATACAAACTTTCAGATAATTATTGAGGAACAATTTAAAACCTATTGGAAAACTACCAGAAAGCGATAGAAATCCTTTCTAGAAACAATTGAAAATAAACAATCGAGAAATTTTTTTTGTTTGAAATTTTTTACTGTCGAAAAACTTTGAATAAAAAATATTGATACTGCTGCAACCGTTTATAACGAAGTCAGTTATAACGAAATCGCGGCTAGAGCAAAGCAATCACTATTTTCCATTCCCGCTTGCACTTTTTCAATGACAGTAGTGAAATACTGATATTTTTCTCTTTAGGTTGTAGTTTTTGTGCAGTTTTCAGATTTCTTTTTGGTACTTCACACTTTGTTTTTTTTATGAAAAGAGTTCAATCAGGAAAATTAAAATACCTTTGTCTCACCTGATAAGTGAACTATGTTGCACCGTGAAATCATAGTCATGACTTTAACCAGATGAAAAGATTAGTGTTGCATTTTTTTTCGGCCAAACAGGTTTTGAGCAAGAGAGGAAACAATATTGCTTCTCGAATTCCCGAGCCTTTTTTTCACTGAATTAATACCCCATTACCAACATTATCTTTACTTGGATCATGGGGAACTTTCGTTTTTATCTCGTATTTTTCATCCAGTTAACGTTTGTTCCTAAACTTATTGTAAAAAAATAAAAGCATTGTTAACTAACCCCGTTGGCTTGGTATAATCGTCAAACAGTTTTTCCTTTCTTATGTCCTGCTTTCGTGACCTGTACACTGTTAAAGCTGATTTCTCCTGCATTCTCCCCTTCCACATTTTCCCCTCTGCCTCTTTCACCCCCTTTTTCACTGAAGTAGTCTGTTTAGCCCCATCACCAGTGTGTAGGTATTTAAATGGTAAGCTTTTGGGTTCGGTTTGTCCATTCTGTGTTTAAACTTTTCATGTATAAATGCTTGAATACCTTTCGTGCCCACCGCATATCATCCATTTCGGTTCAACCTTTGTTCAAATTTCAACTTACTAATTGCCTCAGTAAACAAACAGTCACGATGGTGATGGGGCTAGCCACCTTACACCGAGCATCGAGTTACAGAGCGAACGAACGCAGCAGAACACAGCACGGCGTGAGAGTTCACTTCCTCCTCCTCCTCTTCTCCTTCCCGTGCATGCACCACATCGGCGGACTACGCGCCTTGGAAGGGCGTTTTTGCTTTTGTAGTTTTGTTTTCCGCGCAGCCGTGGAAATGACCTTGAACGTCTCCCAGAGCGCCGCGCCCAGAATAAAGCTGTTTTAATCTTTTTTTCCTTTCTTTTTTTTTGCAAGCGGGGATTTGTTTTGCGGACTTTGAGTGTTTGTTGTAACAGTATGAAGCTTTGAAAAACGTTTGTTTTATCTGGACCAATTTTAATGGGTAGGGCCTTGGATTCATATATTTTCTGAAAGCTGGTTGTTATAACCAATAGGTCGTTATATGTGGGATCGTTATAAGTGGGTTTGACTGTACTGTCGATAGTCAATTTTTTGACCGTTTTGCATCACCAAGACCTTTTCCTTCGAAAGTACAGTGTGCCATCGATGGCGACGCATGGTGCACAGGTTTATTCCCGCGAGTGTCGTAGCGAAGCTCGGCCAAGTATCCTGCACGCGGCGTGCAAGTTCGTCTGCCTGCCAGATGTGCCAATGTGCTTTTGTCTTCCCCCCCCCGCCTCAACCGACACTGCGTGTTGCCCAAAAGTTCTCTACGTTGACATGTAATTGGCGCGCCGCTCCTTTCGTTTTGACGCGCCAAAGGCGCGTTTTGGAACACTTCGTCGCCATGCATGGAGCCCCGCCGGGCGGTCACCGACGTTACAGAAGTGCCACTCGTACCTGTCGCTGGTGATCGTGGACGGCAAGGGCAAGGAGGAGGAGGGAGACCCTGAGGAGCAGCTGGTGCGGCACCTGGAGCTCCTGGTGCAGGCGTCCAAGTTGGTGCCCCGGGCGCTCACTGCACAGACGCACCACCTGGTGCTCACCTGCTTGACCGCCCCCCTCCAGGGGAGCCCAGGTACGCACAGCGCCAGTCTGCTTTGGAAGGGGTGGCGAGGCCCCCGAAACCGATAAAACTGCGAGAATGTCGGTCTACTCCAACGGCTTTGACCCTCGCTCGGAGGAGTCCAAGTTTTTGGCAATGCGCCCAGCGTGAACGTATCTAGTGTTTCGTTTACGTAGATTACATGAACGAGCAAGCTTGGCTTCTTGCTCCTGTATGGCTCTTGTCTTCGTTCGAGTGCAGGGTTGTTCCGACGCCTACTATTTTATTTTGTCATGTACGGTGAAAGTTTCCATGTTGATGGAAGTAGAAAGCTTATGTTCGCTTAAATAAAAACGTGTGCACTGGAAAAGTACTTTTGTTGTTGAAATGATGTGCAATTGAAAAGTACTTGTGTTGGATCATCTCTTGTGTACAAGAGATGATCCAACAAAAGTACTTTTCCATTGCACATAATTGTTTTCTTTTAGGCGAAGACGGTGAGCTCTTGGCATTTGTGATGTTTTGTGACTGACTGTGGTAACATCTTTATTCCAGCGAACCACTTTACATTATTTTAGGGTATTTGTAGTGCAAATTTATGGTAATAGTTTGACCCAACTATGTTCACATTAAAGTTTCGAGATAGCTTGCGGACGTAGCTGGGTCAAATGTGTATTCATAGTAATCAGGAGTAGATAGAATATTGAGAGAATTATATTGTAGCAACCAAGCTACAGTGGGCATGAAAGGGTTAAAGCCTGCAAACAACAGCTTCATCTTCTCAAGTGGGAAAAGAAGCCCGACTCGTAAATGACTAGATGTAAACCTATCCTAAATTTTCGGTGCATGTCTGTAACATCCATTTTCATAGCCACATTTCTTGTTTTGGGGCGCACATCTCATGTCCCGGTTGGTGCAACCGTTGCCACCTGAGGATCCAAGCCCTACATTTTACTGCAACGACACTGTTCCTGATAAAGTAACAAATCTTTTTCCGTAGAATCTGGGAAACCCGACCAGCATAACGGAGGGTAACCAATAATCTGCCCGCAGAGGAAGCAGCGACCAATGCCAGGGGCCACCGCAGGTCCAAGGGCAAGACGATGGAGGACGAGTTCCGCACGACGCCCCGCCTGCGTGCCACGGCAGTGGTAGTGCTTGGCATGCTGAGCCTGCAGAACGAGGGCCTGGCCAAGAAGGTGGTGCCGGCTATAGGCCAAGCGCTAAGCACCAGCAGCGACCCCCTGGTGCGCGCCAATGCGGTGGTGGCCCTGACGGACCTGTGCAAGCGCTACGCCGTCCTCGTGGACCCGTACCTGCCAGCGGTGACGCGCTGCCTCAAGGACCCCCAGGAGAGCGTGCGGCACCTGGTGCTCGTCTGCCTGCTGCGTCTGCTTCAACAGGACTTTGTCAAGCTGCAGGGTCGCGTCTTCTACCGCTTGCTCGCCTGCCTGGCGGACGAGAGCCCCGCGGTGCGCGAGCTGGCCGAGTTCGGCCTGGTGGACCGGGTGTGCAAGCGCTTTCCACATGTTTTCTACCAGCGCTTCGTGGAGTGCCTGTGCTACTTCAACCAGTACCGGGGCGTGACCGGGCAGGCGGCCTCGTCAGCCCAGGAGAGCGTGATCGAATCGCGGGAGCAGGACCAGCACCTGTTCTCGCTGGAGGGGCCCCGCCACCGGGAGCGTCGCATGGGCATCTACCGCTTCCTGCTGCAGAACATGGCCGACGAGGACCGCTTCAAGCTCAACCTGGCCATCACCCAGAACGTGCTGGGCCCGTGTGTGGAGGAGGGACAGGAGGGCGTGGACACCCTCTGTCCAGGGATGCTACAGGACGCCCTGCAGGTGGGACACTGGTGGAGAGCGGGTCCGACGAGGGGGCGGGCCCAACAGAGGTTTATTGGTGGAGGTAGTGCGTAAGGGCGTTGTCCACGGAAGCGGATGTTGAGAGGTGCTCCCTTACCGTTGCACTCGGCGTTTGTTTTCACTTTGCTTCGTGGAAGAAAATGGTTCGCAAATCGGTTCAAAACGTATGCCGTGAGAGGCGTTATGTTCGCGAGCTTGATATTTAGCAGTTTTTCCAGGGTGCTGCCTCTTAGAATATTTTGCGGTGATGAGGTTTTGCGGCAGGGAACGAGTGGTACATACTATGTTAGAGTGATAACGTTTTTAGGATTGTTTTTCATTTGCAAGGTTTGCAAAAATTGAGTCTCTGCAAAATACAAGTTGCTTATCGTACGTAAATTCAGGGTTCGTTTAGAGCCTAAATTTTTGTAAAGTCGGTATTTTCTTATACCGAGAATCGCTTGCACAATCGTTTTTTGACCAAAGGGCCATGTTCCGAAATTTACTCGACCTCACTCCATGGTAAAGGTTTTGTACCTTGGCATTAGAAAACCTACCCACGTCTAGCGATGCTCTCTGCATTGTCACGCAACACCAGCCGGAGTAATTCAGGTGTAGTAAGGTTTGAGACACATCCCAAGTAGGTATCGGTTGTCTCATGAAACCACCAACAAGACTGCGAGATTCAGATACCGTATAAATGTGGCACGCATAAATTCCTGCGCAAAACTCGTCTAAGAAGTGATACATCTTTGAGTCCACCCGAAGACCCGCACAAGATGCAGAGCTCCCGCTCTCTATGCGCTTCGTCGTCTTCAAACCCCGGCTATCCAACATCTCCCCTTTTCCTTATTGTCCAAAACGACTTGGTGGCTTGACCAATCCTCCTGCTCGTGTAGTTTACCCACGTTGTGGCTCTACGTCAACATTGAGTGGTTCATCGTCAACACTGAGTGGTTCATCGTCAACACTGAGTGGTTCATCGTCCTGGTGGCCGTTGTATAAGCTTGTACCTGGCAAATCATCGTACAACATCTCATCGTCCTCCTTGTTTTCGCTTCGATCAATAACCAGAAACTTAGCGTTTCGCCGGACAGTGCCATCCTTTGTGGATACCCAATATGAACGCGGCAAATCGGCTTTCTTGAGTACTGTCCCCCCTTTATTTAGGTCCTTGATCCAGACTTTCTGTGATGACTGAAGCTCTCGCACGACGCAAATATCAGCTGAGCGTGTGACCGCCTCCAACCCGTCGTCTCACGCGCATCGTGCAAGGCTGCATTGTTTAGGTTTTTTAGCACGTACAACTGTACGGCGCCAGTCTGTGTCCACGTACCAGAATAGTCGAGGATGAGCGTTTCCCATGTTTGCCTGCGTGCCGGAAACTTCCTTTTCGGGATAAGCCACAGCGGCATACCAAATGCAGACGATACCATCTCCGTGACGCAAATATCAGCAGAGCGTGTGACCGCCTCAGATGCGTCCTCTCATGCGAATCGTGTAAGGCTGCATTGTTTGGGTTTCTCTTTGCAAACATTTGCCACCCTTTCCTTGTCTTCGAAAAAGATTGAGACATAGTCGCACGTACAACTCTATGGCATCGGTATGTGTTCACGTACCAGACTAGTCGAGGATGAGCGCGTGTTTCCCAGAACCTTGGCCTGCGTACCGGAGTCTTTCATCCCCTTTCAGGATAATTCACCGCAGCATACTTCTGAAACTTGTTTCCTCCAAGAGCAGACGATATTCTCCCGTGTGTCACAGATATTAGCCGAGTGTGTTACTGCCTCCAAGGCGTCGCCTCACGTGGAGCGTGCAAGGCCGCATTGTTTGGGTTTTTCTGTGTAAACAGTTGCCACCCTTTTCCTACCTCCGAAGGGAAGACAACTTCATTGCATGCTGTACAGCGCCAGTTTGTGTCTACTGTAGTCTCAAACGGAGATCGGTGGAAATTAACTAAGCAATTGATAACATGGAAAAAAAAAAGGAACAACGTCCTTTTGTTTATTTTTGTTTCGCTTCATTGTATTGCACCTTTATATCGTCTCAAACATTTTCAAGAACATTCTGCTGCGGCTTGATTTAAGTCACAATGATTAAATTATCCTGGCTGGGGAACAATGAAGATCACAATCTCGGATAATATATATGCAAGACGATGTGGTCATTTCATTATTAAATTGAATCTAAGGCACTAAGTCTTGAGGCAAAGGTTTCTCGCAGATATCTACTATAGAGATTAAACCATTCGAAGAGCTCACCATCCTATTATCTGCCGTTTGAAGTGTGACAACATTTGAGCGCTTTCTTACTTCTGCAACAGTATGTAAAACACATTTCTTACCGGGTTCTCCGTAAACTGCACCGCTGCTTGATTATGAGATCTGCAATTATCGCATTATTGCATACCTCAAACAACCATTATTCATATTTGTACGTTGTGTTGTTGTGTTTCCGCCAAGATTTCGGCGTGTCGAAGTGTCGCCTACTCTTATTGGTCGTTCACCAGGTCAACGGACTTGGATAAACGATTCAAAAGATTTACCGTCTATTTATAGAAATAACCTGGTTTATTGCATTTCCAAAATATAATAATAGCAGAATCAATTTATTTTGTAGTCTTTCTTTTTTCACCTTATTTTTCTTTTTTTTTCCTATCAAGTTGTCGCCATCTGGCTTGAGGGGCGCTGTCTATGCCCGATTACCGGAAGTGGCCTTGAGTGGGACCACTGGGTATGATTTCATTGTGGTGATGCCACTGATCTCTATTGTAGTAGGCTGGATCACGGATCGGAAGCCCATTGCTTGACACCAGGCAATACACGCGTGTCTATGGGAGAACCACGCAAACGTAGGAATATTGGAGCTTGTACGCGGTGCCCAAAGGCAAGTATCTTATGATGTGCTGCGATCATTATATCGGGTGTTTGGAAATTGAATCAGTATTTGTCGAGCGTTCGGACGCCCATTAAAAAATCAGACTTGCCGGAGCACCCACGGATGAGCTGGCAAGCTTGCTCTCGTCGTGAAGTATACAAAGAAACTTACCGTCCCGTCCTCGGGGAAGCCCAGAAACTGTAACTGACGAATGTCGAAAAAGTTCCACATTGAGAGCGGCCTTCCGGGAGTGAGCGAATTCCGCACAGCAAAGCCTTCAAGCTTGTCGTCTGCTAAACCCAACTCATTGAAACCGCCACCAACTCCACGGTAACCTTAGGTAACTCTCGTCTGATTGAGTTGCACTATATTTTTCGCCCAGCGGAGTCACTCCTGACCACAAAATATTTATTTGCAAGAACTGTGAGGGCTGTCAGTTTTAATGTTTGTTCACAAGCTATTTGACAGGCTTCCCGAAAAGCAGCCAAAACGTTTCGGTGCCGACAACAGCTTAGAAAAGGGGGAAACGGCACTTTTTCTCGTTTTTCCCATACACTGGCTGGTGTCAAGTGATGGCTGCCGGTGGTGCCACTGAACCCCTGCAAGACGAGTTTAGATCCGCGATCCAGCCTACTACAATAGAGATCAGTGGGTGAGGCTGTTCCAGCGGCCTCTGGAGCGGCTCTTACAAGAAGTGCCGCCACCCCCGGAATTCGGATGCGCCGTGCGCTGTTCGCCGCTGTATATTCGGGTTAATTTGCAAATCGCTTACAAGAAAGCTTGTTCGCAGGAATGAAAAAAATAAAAATAAAAAAAAAAGAGTAAATTGAGAGCACAGAATAGCGCAATGCTACAGGCACTGCCGGCTGAACTTCTAACAAGCCGGGGTGTTCTTCATATCGAGACTGTTTTGTTTTTGTCGGCGGTGGAATGCTTTGGTTTGATTATAAATCTACCCCCCCCCCCCACTTCAGATTTTCAAAAATTTAAAAATGGGTCGACCTCCATTTGTGAGAATACGGTACATGTGCATGTCCGTGCGCAGCATGACATCAACACGAGTTGAGGCGGCGTTGCTGCGTGGCATACACAGAGCTCGAAATGGGACGTCTACAAACGTCTTTGTGCTGTTTCCAGCAAATCTTTATTTACCCGTTGGCTTTGTCTTCAACATTGCACAACCTTACCCACCACAGTCACGACGCGCAACATTCTGGGAGAATGAGCGGATTCGCAGTGATCTTACTTCGGTGGGGATGGGCTTCGACCTTACACTCCGCGGTTCCATCCCAGGACATGGGGCGTTCGCTGACCTTGCTATCCCTGAATGGTTTAGTGCTTGTTATTTTTCAAACTGTTTTTTTTTTTTGTTCGAACAAACTTCTTTGTAAGCAAACATTTTCCTTTTGCATGCATGTGCTACGACTACGGGGTGGCGGACATCGGGGAGGAAATGCATAAACGAGGAGAAATGTTTTTCCCTCCTTTGTTTTACTTTGTCATGGACGTCCTCCAACTCTAAGGTCTGCGACCGCATCATTCGGATAGGATGTATGTTCGCGGAGTATTTGTAGGGGTGGCCGATCACCCGGTCCTTTTTTAGAAATCAATATTCGCCCAAAAAGTGGAGTGGGCAATGACTCTGGGATGGGTAGTCACTGACAAAATGAGGGCATCTCTTCCAGATGGCCGGCCTCCAGCATGTGCTCGTTACCTTCTGCCATGCTTTGGTAGTGTGTGCATGCTCGAAGCTCGCGAGGTGCTGAAGTGTCATCGAAGGTAGAAGGCTCGCGCCGGAGGCAGAATGATAGAAAGAGCTCTCTGTCGTCTTTGTCAGTGACTACACCGCAGAACCGCACTCCCTCCTCGCAGGTGCTGTGCTGCGAGGAAATCAAGCTGCAGTCGATCGTGGGCGCGGAGGAGGCGGCCGCGGACGAAGAGCCCGCCCAGGCGCTTCTGATCACGACCCGCAAGACCCTGCTGAGCAACCTGGTCAAGGTCAGCCTGGTGGAAAACGTGGTGCCTGTGGTGCTGGCGCTCAAGCACAAGCTGGAGGCCGCCCGCTCCCCGCTCCTGCGCGCCCTCCTACTCTTCCTCCGCGAGCTCATGCGCGACTACAAGAACGAGGTCAAGGACATCCTGGCGCACGACCGCAAGACGGCCAGCGAGGTGGCTTTCGACCTCAAGCACCTGGAGCAGGAGGAAGAGGAGGAGACCCAGAGGGCAAGGGTGGGAGGGGCGACCCCCCGGACCCCCGCCTGCACGGCCAACCCCGCCCTCAGGGCCGTGCTGGACAGTGCCCGCAAGCTCAGGGAAGAGGCCAGCAAGCGCCAGTCCATCGTGGCGGTGCCCGGACGCGCGCCGGACGACGTGGACGGAGCAGCGGCTCCGGCGGAGCGGCTCGGAGAGGAGGCGGAACAGCCGCCCGAAGGTCCGGCCGCAAGGGTAGTCTCGCCCAGTGAGACGCCAAAAGGACGGAAGAAGAAAGCGAATGCGGCGAGCCCGACGGGGAAACAACGGTCCTCCGAAGGCCCTGCCGCGAGAGGCACGACGTCGAGCGCTCGGCGTGGAGCATCCGCCGGTCAGACCTCGTCAACAAAAAAGAGAAGGAAGCGTGCCGAAAAACAACCCGAGGAAGAGCTCGAACAAGCTGAGACTTCGCCTGACGGTTCGGAGCGCCTCCAGAGCGTCGAGGAGGGCACCTGTGGCAGTCCGGCCGGTTCGGAGAGTCACGAGCCTCCAGTCTCGCCGAGCGAAAGTTCCGCCGACGAAGCGCCAAAGAAAAAGAGGAAAAACAAGAAAAAGAAAAACGAAGCCAAACGTGTGCCGCAAGAGACGATTGCCGCGGAACCTGTGGCGTCGACGGACAGCTGCGGCCGGCCGGAAAGCGGTGGCACCGTACCGTCGGCTGCCTCCGAAAGTATTCGCACTCCGCCTCGCTCCAGGGGAAGCAGGTCAGTCACACCGGGCGGCGTGCGGAGCTCCTGCAGGCTGCCGTCTCCGAGGAGGAAGTTCCCCATCGAGATGGACTTTGTGGCCACCCCTCTTGCTCCAAGAACCGCGTCGCCGTCCGGCAGCCCTCCTAAAGACGGTGCCGCCGCAGCAGCTACTGCGAGGGAGACGTTCAAGAGACCAGCTGCGGTCGGTCGACACGCGGTTCAGCAGAAGGTCTCCACCAGCACGCCTCTGGGCGAGCCCGGCAAAAAGATTTGCGTGTCCCCGGATGTCAGCATGATAGAGTGAACACAGCCACTTGCTCGAAAGAGAGCTGGGAAAAGTTTCTGGCGACGGGTACCAACCTGCGCCTCAACTGTTGTGCAAAGACGTCTTTCCAGTTGTATATTATATTTTACTAAATAGTTTCTTTACCGGCGTTTTTTTTTAAACTAACCTGTATTTATTCGGCTACAGACCCATAAACACCCATTTCTCGGTAATCTGGCTGGTGCACTTTATTTACTGCCAAGACGGTCACGACGTTGACGGGCATGAAATACGCTTTTGGGAAAGGTGGCACGCATTGGGGTAGAACTCCTGCAGCCTTCTCAGGGGTCGGCAAGATCTTGCTGACCAAAGTAGCGGGCGGTGAGGCAGATGATGAGGTTGAGTGGCAGCAGGCGGTCATCACTCTTCGACGTCTGCAACAGACGGTTTTGGCATTCCAAGGCTGTCCGAGAGTCTTCTCGATTGTGAGCCCATACTTAGCTGCTCGGCATTCAGCGTGACAAACTATGTCTATGGAAAAAACTTACCAACAATGCACGTACAAGAAGACTATTTGGCTTATAGTAGTTGTGAATCAATGCATGACTTACGCATGACAAAACAGTGGTTAAATTGGGGAAATGCTCTCCTTAAATGTAGGAATTGCCAAGATAATCAGGGTGCTCGAGAGGGAATACGGTAGGATCGCAATAATTCAAACTCGGATATTTAGTACCTCTGGTTTATTCAAACAAATTGTAAAATTTTCGTTGTCTCGCTATGTTTTTAAAGGCCGACGACCAGTTCATGCTTTCCACTTTTCCCTCGCTTCCTCCTCTCTCCCCTTTTGCCCTGTCCACCGCTGCCTGTTCCCTCCTCCCTCATGGTGAGGAGGATCCGAATCTGGTCGTCGGTCTTTAAGCCGCTTAATTTGAACTCATGCAATTCTTACTTTTGTTTCTGCGATCCCGTTGAGTGGGCTTCTTTCCCAGCACTGGTGCCCTGCAAAGAAGCAACACCCACGAGAGCTTGCGTCCGTGGGTGTTGCTTCTCCGCACTGCACCGTCGCTCGGTCACAAGGGCACTCAACAGGGCTCAAGCAGGGCACACACAAACTATGAGAACCGGCAACATGCAGAAATTTCCACAGCAACTTGAGCGGACACTGTGACGTGGCTCACGGCATAGGTCCACGTCACAGCATCCGCGCAAGTTGCTATGAAAACTTCCACGCGGTGTCCGTTTTCATTGCTCGTTGTTATGTGCCGTCTAAACAGTCCACGGTAAACAACATTTTTGAGTATGTCATTCATTTCACAAATGTTTTATGTGTGGCATACCAGCTTATGATGGTAGGCCTATGCAGAGGAAATCATCAAATATCTGCTTTGTATGGGTAGCAATTCATATGGCAAATCATAATTTTATGTTGCATCATATTTAGATCAATTCCTGACAATTCAGACTAAAGATAATTTGTACAAAACTCATGGCTTCCTGGAGTTTGAACTAAGAGGAGACATGGGTCTTTGGAACCAAGAAAATCCATAAACTTTTTTTCCTTAAATGATGATTTTAAACTTTTGTATTTTTCTTTTGGTCTGCCAAGTTTCTTATTTTGAAGATTAATATTTGAGCCATAATAGAACTTTATAAAATCTATATAGACTGCACTGAAGCTGATGCTAAAACAGCACTTTCTCAAAACAAATTTTGGACTCCTTACAAATTTTCAGAAGGGATATCTCAGCATCTATGGTAGACAGAAAGATAACATTTTTAGCACCATGTAGCTAAATGTGCGAAGTATGCAATGTTGGATGCAGACTTTTCAATCTAGGTGTAGAAAAATATTTTAACTGAAATAATGTTTTATTGCTTGGTAACCACACATTGAGCACTTCACTTCAACGTGTTCTAAAGTCACTAATAATGGTTCAACCTAAAAAGTGCTTCCGACATTGCATTCTTCAAAATTTGTAGTATCTGACTATGTGTTAAAACATTCTTTTTTTTTTAAAAAATATGATTTTTCTCTTGTTTCTGGAAACAGTCTGGTTAATTATAATTACCCTGAGAAGTAACCTACTAATTAAACAAAAATAACAGATATTTGAAAGCAGCTCGAAAAGTCTGAACAAGCTTGTGCTGTTTCATAGGGCTTGGCCAAAAAGAATAAGGAAAAAAGCCCCAAGACCATTGTTCCCCCTTAATGAGAGTCTACTGTACACGGGTACCAAAGATGCCAGCTGTCTCACCAGAGATCTTCTTGCCGACGCGCAAGCCCGTGCCAGAGCCCTGATATTGGAGCAAGCTTCTGGGTGCAGTGGCTTTTCCAAGCAGGCCAACAGTGCATACAGCCACACCCCCTGTAAAGTGGAAAAAAAAAAATATATATATATATATATATACACTGCATAGAGCTGGTACCAAAACATAGTCCTTTGATATAAGGGTGTGTACAGTGACACATCACGGTCAACTATTGTGGCTCTGCTATGAGTAGAGCCACTGAACTTCCCCAGAGAACCACTTTCAATGGTGTTGGCTGGGAACAAAAGGAGTGCATCGATTGATTGTTGCCAGTTTGTTTGTTTCGTGCAGCGAGCATACTAGCATCATCGTGGTATATTCTACAGAGCAAACCAATTCTGCACATCGTAACAGCGTCACAAATGTTTTTCAAACCTTCGGTTTCAAGGTAAAATTTCTGACCCTGCAGAGTCTGCTGATCCTGTGAACTTCAAACTTCGTAATCTATTGAGTCAACAGGTTTGAGGCACTTCATACCTTTCCCAGGCATTTTGGGGTGCAAGTGTATCCTAATTTTTGAAATGCCAACAAGCTTCGAGATATTCGTCAATCAGTTTTGGCGGTTCTTTTGCCCAATTCTGAAACTGGACGAAGAGTGCTGGAACTGCCATCCACAATGATGCAGAGAAGTGCGACACGGTTGTTTTGTACATCTCGTCGCTATTTTGGCAGGGTGTCATTGGCGGATGTCAGACTTGTACCGTACGCATTACAAGTAATCAAATTACTTGTAATCGATTACTTTTTGGAGAAATTTTGTAATCAGTTGATTACTTTTATTAGGCAGTAATCACAAGAGTAATCTGATTACTTTTTTAAGTAATAAAATTACTTGTAACCGTTACAATTTGTCCACGGGACCCCCCCCCCCTCTCCCCCGGCACACGCCTTTTTTTTTATGAAATGAAAAAAATTTTTTTTTTTTAACGCAAAAAAGAAAGATTTTTGCGGAGCTGTAGAAACGAGGTCAATCTCTTTCTATGTACAGTTTCTGTAAAATGTCCATTCTTTTTTTCTTTCGAGCTGAGATTGGGAGTGGGAAGCCACAGTGAGTGACAAAGGCCATTCAGGGCAAAGTTTGAGGAAGCAGAATGTAGCCTTGTGAGTCCTTCGTTCAAACTAGCCCCCTCACGCACACGCACATGCACACACCAAAATGAAAAAAAAAAGTCCTGCTTAGGATACCTACTCGCAGCCCGTAGAAGAACCAGAACCGAAGAATGCCTAAAGCGGATGCCAAATATAACAAAGGCAGTTGAAATTAGGGATGCCGCGAACTTTTTTCGAATCGAAGTTTCGATGATCGAATCAAGCGGTTCGAAAGGTTCGAAAGATTTCGATTTTTCGAATTGTTTATATCGTAAAATTCGACGGAGGTCGAATTTTCGAACTTGTTAAGCTAAGAAGTTCGACGCTTTTCGAACCGTCGAACTTATTATGCTAAAAAATTAGATCTTTTTCGAACTTTCGAACTTATTGCGCTGCAAGGTTCGATGCTTGTCGAACTTTCGAACTTGACTGACCAAAAAATTCGATGAATTTCGAAATTTCGAACTTATTTATCAAGAGGATTCGAAAAGTTTCGAACTTTCGAATTCTGAAAAGTAAAAAGTTCGACGAACTTCGAACTTTTAGGGTTAAAGTTCGACGTTTGTCGAACTTCGAAAGACCGGCGGACGGTTTCATTTGGTTTCAAGTAGTGGGGTACATTCGTAATTTTTTTTTCTCGAACTTTTACGCGCGGTGCTGCGTTTCTTACGAAAGACAATGTCATTTATTTCAATGTTCTGGCATGCTTAGGTTTAAAGAAATAAATCCCCGAAGGGGCGAGGACGAACGACGGGTTTTTGACGATTATCGTTTGTGCCAGATTTGAAGCACGCTGCAGCCGGAGCTATTTATGGTAGATATGTTATACTTTTTTTTTATGAATGATCTATGTATAGCCTAGGTAAGTGCCGTCTTAAGATGTGATTATTGTTATTCAACGTGAGTTTCGAAGAAATGTCCAAACATGTATCTGCATGCAATTATGACCTAAACTTGATATTTATTTTCGTCTAAGTTGTTTGAGGTATCGCATTTAAATTAACACCACAGACAGTACATATCATTGCCATCTGCAGAATACGAAATAATATATTTATTGTTTTTTCACGTTAAGGAATAAATTAACTCATGGGAGAAGATATCTAGTAGTGTTCAAGTTCAGCACGTCATTAAAAGAAAACTTTTTTTTTTTTTTTTTTTCGCTTCACGTTCCTGGGACGTGTTTCTTTTAGCCTGTACACATTTTGGTAAAAGAAACTTGTTTCGAAGTTCTGAACCTCTGAATATGCAAGAATAGAACACTTCCAAGAATTCTTGATAGTTTTTTTTTTCTCCTGCTTTTTATTCCCGCATTTATTCTTTTTTTTTTTTCTTTTGTTACTATCGGCACAGGTGTTTAGGTCGAAAAGACAGCTTTGAACTTCCGAACCACTAAGCATGTGACGAGCAGTGCCTTCTGACAACGAGTTTCTAACAATGACCATCTACGCAACCTTTTATGCAGTGAAGAGCGACAGTAGCTATACATATGCATAAATAATTTCAGATTAAAATAAGCACCGGATCGGATTACTACCAGCGTGCAAGGAGTGGCGAGCTAGTTTGCCAGGTCGCTTCAAGGTTTTTCTGAGCCTCAACCTCCTGCTCGCCCCTGGCCGTTTCGAACTGGACGAGTCTCGTAAAACAGTGTGTTCGTGCAATCACTACTGCGTGATAAAGACACCCCCCCCCCCCCTTCCCCCGGGGCCGGCGGTCACAATTCTGCACTGGCAAATATTCTAGCACGTCCGGGACACTCGTCGTCTCATTTAATTGCCTGACCAACTTCGCAGAATCTAGATATCACACCCTAACTTTTCTAAACTTGATTTTGTGAAAACCAGTGAGTCGTGAAAACGTTATTTGAAACAAACTGTGGAGGAACTTGAAAACCGTGCTTCGAACTTTGAAAACTTGGATTAGAAAAAAATTCAAAATCTTCGAAGTTTTTTTTTTTTTTTTTTTTTTTTTTTTTTAATTTAGCATTAAAAGAGAATCGAAACTTTCGAACTTTTCGAACTTTATGCAAAAAGAAATTAGAAATTTTCGAATTATTCGAACTTCATGTCTATGAAAATTCGAAGCGTTCGAAGTTTTCGAATTTTTTTTACAAAGGATTTCGAAATCTTCGAATTTATCGAACCTGAAGTAAAAAAATATTAGAAATATTCGAATTCGAAATTTTAGAAACCGTGAAAGCTTCGAAATTTTCGAATTCGAAACTCCGCAGTGGACAAAAGTTGAGAATTTTTCTAAATCGAACCTCGGTCGGTACGAAAATATCGAAATTTTTCGAAATCGAACCTCAGTTCGCTTCGCAAATATCGAAACCTTTCGAAATCGAACCTAGGGTGGTTCGCGACATCCCTAGTTGAAATATTTCCCAATTTCCCCTACGTGGTCTTTGTGACGAGCAATGTTTCGAGTTGAGAAGTGGTCGGGGCGATCTCTTCCGCTAATGGATACTACACATGATCCGTTTCAAATCCTGGAGCTGCTGCTCTTTTGTATAACATGCGAGCTCATCCACATGTGAATAATAAAATGAGCCACGCAAACTTTGAGCGACAACCCTTGCTCAAGCTTAACATGTTAACATGATCTAGAACCTCCTCCACTTCTCCCCCCCCCCCCCCCCCCCCCACACACACACACACACACTGGTGAACGCCCAAATCATTAAACGTCTTCAAACGAATTCTATGCTTGTGTCCGCATTGTGAAGGTGCAACGACCACGAAGAGGGAGCCAGTTTTTCTTTTTCAATACTAGTGCAAATGTGAAATATAGGTTGGAAGTAGTTCATCGTTGTGAGCGCTAAAGATGTGTCTTCACACAATAAAGTAATCGAAAAAGTAACGATTACTTCTTTAAGTAATGTCCAATTACTTTTGCCGTCGGGTAATCAAGTAATCTAATCGAATACTTTTTAGCCAAGAGTAATAGTAATTGTAATCGATTACTTTTTTTTAGTAACGTGTACAAGACTGGCGGATGTTGACTTCGAGCTGCTGAGATAATGACAAAGCGCCCGAATTGAGTATGCCACCCTTCCAGGCATCATTATGAACGGGAGTGCCGGCGCTCTTTTGTGCGTCCCATTTCGAAATCGTTTGACAAAAATGCAAAACTGATTGATGCGTATCTGATGAGATATGCAACAATCAGTTGCCTAAATGTTTACAATTAATTAGCCTCTCAGTTACCTAAATGTTTACATTGGATTAGCCTCTAATAATAACTGCCTTTAAAAACTGCAATTGCAACATGAGCCGTTAAACCATAATTTACAAAGTTATAATTAGCCTATTTTAGTTAACTTTCAAATTTATTGTGGCGGTTAACGCCCTGCCTATTGTCTGCTGAGCACCATGAACGCAGTAAAGACAGTGTTCCTGTAACTGTCACCTTAACAGTTTCGAAAATCTGTTCAAAATTAAAAGTTGAGCTGGCTTTGGAGAAGAGGTAAACCAACGTACCATTTCAATGCAAAATCCCTTTTCTTGAATCCACTGGGTGTTGTAGTTTATCAGATTGTCAACTGTGTGCTGAAATGCAGAAATGGGTTGTACTGCTCTGTTGCAGACATATGTGAAATGCAAGCGTTCACCTGTGGAATGGCCGAGACAATGCTGAGCAGAGGTGCTATGGCAGGTGGGGCAGATCCATAGCAGACACTTCGCCATCTCTCCTTGTCGTCTGCTCGAGGCTACAACATTGCGGCACACATTCGATTCATCGTGGCCAACAAAATGAGTTTGGAAAATTCATACACTGTTTACTTGCACATGGCTATGGGGCTTTGTTGCAGAAATCTCCATAGTCTAGAGTCGAGCACCAAGATCCACCATCCGAATTGGTGGTGCACATCCCACGGCAATCGTAGTTCCAGCAACATTTTAATATTGTGTGAAAAAAAAAACGAACTTCACTGTCCTTTTTGCAGTGCCACACGCTGTACTTGTGTTCTTTGTGATCATCTACAATTAAGCGGAAGTGCACCTGAGGTATAGAGTCATGATTAAAAGAAGACAAAGACAACAGGCCAGGCCAAGCATTTCTACACCACACTTCAGCAGTGCAAGCTTGAAAGTTAATGGTGAGAGTGAAATAGCAGCAGCCAAGTGTTTTTTCTTGGAGAGAAAGGGTTTTTTTTGGTAGTCCTGCATCTAGCATGAGCGTGTGGCCTTTGTTTGTACTTTGGTGCTGTGCATGTAACCAAACCGCCATCGAAACGGCTAATTTGAGCTGGTTATAGGATATTTTAATAATTACTCTCTATGCACTGCCATATAATCCTGGGCTGTGGAACACATTATGAGAATGTGCAGTAGCTATCTTCAGTGGAGCAGCCGACGCCACGTCCAAAGCCCAGTGACTCGGAGTTTTCTTTCTGGGTGATAACAGGGGAAAGCAACTGCACTGTGCTCTTACTGTACGCCCGTAAGAGTAGGCCAAATGAGATACAACTTTTTGGAAGCAAACTCGGTTGTTGGTGAAGTGTGCAAACATTGGTATACTAATCAAAATTTTTCAATCTAATTTGGAGATCCAATCCAACGAGAAAAAGCGGGAGTTTCGCTCTAAAATCGGTGATGAAAATTCGACCCTGCGAGTAGTCTCGAATTTTCCTCAAAAGTTTATTTCAATGGTGGATTCTATACATTGAAAAATTTTGAGGCATAGCTCCCTTCCTGTGAAAAATTAAACATGGTCATTGGCGGACGCCGACACAGAAGGCCGAGTGAATCGAGGGTTCTACTTCTTCCACCACCCCCCAAAAGGTAGCAAGCAGATAACGCTCTTGGTTGAAAGCAGACGATGGTTACCAAGTGCTTGCTGCACTTATCAAAGCTGTTATAACTTTACACAGGAATAAAGTTATGCCCTGAAATTTTACAAAGTAATATCCATCACTAAAGCGCACCTTTGGTCAAAGATTGAGCTCCTACATTCAGGCTCAGATTTGTTCGGGTCATTTCACGGCGAGTCTGTAAATTCGTAACACCATGTACTATATATAGCATAAAAGTATAAGAAGTTTTAATAAATCAAAACATGACATTATGCACAACATATATACACATGCATATAAAAAACATTACACTTCTGGACATTCTAAGAACTGTGCTAAGAATCACTCGCTCAACAGGCTTGTCAGCCTGTTGAGCGAGACTTTTATTCCATTAGACCAGAGGTGTGCAAAGTGAGGGTCGTGAGGCAACGTCTGGGGTTTGCGGGGGGCCTAAGAAAGCTGAGCTGCTGATAGCTTTGATGCTGCTCTAACGGGGGAAAGGAAGGGAAGGGGGATGGGTCGCCGGACGAGGGTAAAGTATTTAAGGTGTCGCGGGCCTGAAAAGTTTGAGCAACTCTTCATTAGACCATAGAAAAAGGAAAATTTAAAACATTGGCTATGGGACAAGAGAAAGACAACCAAAAAAGACTGATTTTATCACATTCGATGTGCACAATACTGCGCAATTGAAATCGGGGAGTCTGTGGTGTAAGAGTGGCAAGCGTTGCCACGGGCAGAAGCAAAGGTTCAGACGTTGTCCCCTATACCTTAGGATCAGATATACTCACCAATCTAACGGGACACTTTGCTTTGCTCTTTTTCATCAGGGCCTTGTGCCTTGCGAGTAGCTAGAAAAGAAAGTGACTGCCTAAGTGACTGTTGACATTCTTGGTACTCGCATATTATTTATCCGTTTGAGACAGTAGAAAAATTTGAGCTGTACTGCATTAATCCCTAGGACAGCTGCAGCAACAGCTGCGAGAAGTCATGGCAAAACTGTTGGGCGTCGGCGTCGCGTTCACGCACTGTGGGGCAAGTGAACAAAAGAGTTTGGAACAAAATGGACATCTGACCATTTTGTTCCGGACTTATTTGTTTCTTTCTGTCCGGCAGCGCGTGAAAGTGCATCTCCCGGCATGAGCTCTTGGCATGGACAGTGCTACAACAGCATTTTGCTATTGGCTATTTTTTTTTTTTCTTTCCAGAGAGAATGTGCAGTGGGCATCGGGTACTACAAAAACTTCAAATATAAAAAGGGTGGTTAACGCTGTGGCGTAGCTCTGTTGTTACATCTCTGCTTTGCACGCAGTGGACCCAGGTTCGATTCCCACAGGCAGCAAGCGATTATTTTTAGGATTTGGCAATATCAACGACGGACGCCCACAATGCCAACTACAACATCAACGACAATAGCTACGACAACTACAACATCAACAACCGGCATCATTTCCAGCGGTAAGAAAAGCCCATAACGGCTCTCGCTGTAAAAGAATATGCTGGGCAGATTCAAAGTGGACATTGATGCTTCACACAGAGACGCTTCTTAACTCCCGAGGAAGCCATGTCACATAACAAAATGTCAGCTTGCACCCCAAGGCTCTACAGACTCTTTTCCGAGTTCCTCTTCTTCCAGTTCCTGCTACTTGCATGCTTTATTCTGGCATTATGTATGTTGTAAGAAAAGACAGACCACCTTATTTTGCACAGACCGTTCTCACTCAGTTTACGCTTTCTAAGAGATGAGACCACAAACTGTTGTTACTGGGAATTTGAGATGCTAAAGGGGGATCGGTGACCGAGTGGGCTAGCGCACACCAGCTAGAAGCTTCGCAATGTGGAACCCAGGGATCCTGGGTTCAATCCCCACGCCTGCCCGTTTCCATCTGGATGAGCATCGTACCGGCGTGCGGTCGTGTATCACTACTACGTGATACACATTAAAGACACCAGGCTAGCAGTCATACTACACTAGCTAAATTGCTCATCTACAGCTGAGAGACCAGTCGCCCATTGGGGCAGACTAACTTCAGGCTGTATAAACATACACACAACACAAAGAGATGCTAGATGTACGGCACCTTACCTGCCTGGTCGCCGAGAAATTGGCCACTTGCTCTTTCTGCCACTCTAAAGTCGGAGCCAAACCATCGGGAGGTGGGGCACACTCGCTTGACTGAAAGAAAAGTGGTTGGTTTGATAAAACAGACGTGCCCTTTGGAATGAAGACAACAGGTGCGTCAATTCACAGCTGATTCGAACCACCAATATCATCCGAGGTTTCCCTGGTATTTTCATGCCTGGCTTAACAATAGGCAGTCCTATTAATATGCGCTACAGGTGTTGAGATTCTTAGATTTAATTCTTCAGTGCCCGAGCGCCAAAAGCGCTGGTGTGGCCGCTTTTCTGGCTTGTGGAAAGAACAAGCTGTCGGATGATCTTTCGCCAGCTGATGCTGCCAGTATTCGTTAGAGGCATGCACCTGGGTTAGCACTGCTTATGACAACATGCTACACAGGAATATTGTCATGGTTCTTCATTTCTCATTGCGGCACTAACTGGTCACGAATCTGAACCCGAATATTCGCAAACGGACTGATTGTTACCGAGCATAGTGTGACAGATATGCAGTACACGCATGCTATTTGTGAGCTGGATTGGCTGACGTGTCTGAGCACTGCAATTGCAAAAGGACAGATATAGCATGCTCTTAATTTAAAAGGCAACTCCGCTTCATTTTTGGTTTTGAAAAAACAATGCAGTCCTCTTCAGTATCGCCTAGGGAGACCACACGTGAAATGTTACGACGCAGTTCTGTCTAAATGTTTCTTAAACGGTCCGGCAAACTTTGCAACTCGCCAAGTTGCCGAAATTGGCTGACTTAAGCGGGCGAATTCAGGCGCAACCAACAGCGCAGTCAAGGCACAGTCACAGCATGGGCGGAGCCAACATTGAGCTAAACGTCATTATCATGGCTCCCTTTTGCTTGTTTTTACTTCTCCGGGCGAGCGTAGCCCATGACGTCAGCAATGTTGCCTCTCGGTACTCAGCGGTGTCCACGTGATTGGTGTAACGCGCCTGCGCGGCGCGTTTCTTGGGAGCCGTCCGGCTGCCCACCGTGATCCCGGCGTTACCGCCGTCTTCCGCGTCTTAACCGCCGTCGTCGTCTCACCGATTGTGATTATTGTCTCTCGGAGTTTCGTCCACACTACGAACACCACGTGCGCAGACTTGTGCAGACGTCGTCAAATGCCGTTGACACCAAAACGTGGCGAAGAGTGCGGTGCAGACGACACTCGCGCCTGCCACACGCCCGCCTCAATCCCGCCCGTCGTTGGGCCGAGGATCACGTGACATCTCGTACCACGTGATGGCCATGTACTTGGCGACCCGAGGCCAATGTTGCCGGGCGGAGCCGAAGTTTCGGTTTCGATTTCTGCTCGTGTTTAAAATTATATTTAAAAATATATATCCCATTTTTCGCGAAGCAAACGACGCAGTGTGTTTTACTAGGGCTTTTTAATTCGAAATCAATCATTATCCCGAAATCTTCGGAATTGAGCGGAGTTGCCCTTTAATGATGAGCGTCGTGCAGAAATCATGTTCCTGGATACCCACTTTCGGGTGCTAGTTTTATTTTTATTTATTTTTCACTAATACCCTTTAATTACACAGGCATGCTTAACTGCAGTTACGCTTAACCATGCACCAGTTACCACAGTACACTTTTGGACAATTTTCTGTGGCTGTGCAGTCAAAGCTAGGGGCGCATGTGCGCTTATGCATCTTGGTAAAAGCGTAACTGCAGTTAGAGGATTAGCGACATGCAGTCTGGAAAAGAGGTCGCATGCAAGTGTCACATTGTTCATTTCTTCTTCAGCAGACCGTTAAGCAGATGACTACTCTCGAGTCAACGTCGCTGATAGTTTCACTGGCCGCCACCAGTCTATCACCGCTTGGAGAAAAACAACGCGCAAGGGAGCGCTCGGGTTAAATGTGACTGGGGCTGTAAACACATATAAGTGCCTGCATACACTGGACAAATGAACTTGAAAATTGGGTATTTGGGCGATCGTCGTACATATTTCTTGTCATGCCAAACTTACGTCGTTAAACCGTACGGTCTGTCTGCTCGTGAACTTGCTGGTGTCCAGGTTTGCAACCACAACATCAGGACAGTTGTAGGCCTCCTGCCTAAAATAAATAAATAGATGTTTTGTTTTGTTTTGACTAGCATGGGCGTACAGCAAGCGTACTCACTGCACTCTGCGGAGGTATTCGTTTCCAGAGGTGGGGGGAATGTCCAGGTCGTACTCTTCGCCAGTGTCTGGCACACTGAACGCTCTGAACATCAGACTTCCTCCTTCGTCGTCGGACATATTTAGAGACAGGGCCAAGACCGGCCTGTTACGATGATAAAACCAACGTGTTAAAACGATGTCTGTGGGCGCTTCGTCTGCTTGTCCCAGAGGTAAGCAGAACCGATGCCAGCTTCTCGCAGACGTTAGCGCGCCATTTTTTTAAATCTAAATCCTGATAGACAGCCCCCCAAATAGAGTTACAGTCATCATAATAAAACACAGAACATGATTTTCGACGCTGTGATTAACAATATCTGATATAAACGACGTGGAAAACAGTACCACGGTTCTACGAGGAGCGAGAGGAGCGAGGATGAGTGAATGGATAAACGAACCGAAAGGAACAGACTAGATAAGCGGATAGACCATAGATTGGCTGACAGCTTGTGTCACCTAGTGCAAAACTTTTTACTCCCCCGTTGTAATTTCGTTCTAAATCGCATCTCCCGTTAAATCAGCTTATTCAATAATTTTTGCATGTAAATTTATATTTATCTAGACCCTTTACACTAACCTTCTGAACCTTTCTTTTGTTTTCGTGCACTGCTCTGGCGTTGTCGTTGGTGACGTTAGGTATGACGTCATTAGCTGAGTTGACCAAGGAGTTTCTTGAGCACAACAGACACAGTAACCGTACTCTAGTACCATTGTAGTGATTGTAGTGTACTTTCGAGCGAGCAAGCCATCTTGGCGGAAGTGCCGCCAGGAAATAGATGATAAATTTATGTGTGTAAGGGCGAAAGGCTTCCATCTCATCAAAAATTACACTGGCGAGTATAATGCCGTTAGCTCAGCTTGCGGCGGACCCATGGGTTCAGATAAAGCCAGACTGTGGGGTGAGTCCTTTTCGCCGTTTTCCCATCTTCACACTCTCCGCGATCCCCGCCACCCAAACATTGACCGGCATTCTTCGTTTTCGACAGGCTGGTCATCCCAGCAGCGATGTTCGCTGGCGTACGCGCGTTGCTCGCCTCTCTTTTCTTCCGTGACCTGACCACGGAACAGCGAGCAGTACGCGAACAACCGCTGCAGTGCCCGTACTGCCATAGTGTTGCGCTCGCTCTCCAGGCAGATAGTGATGTCGGGCATTATTCATAAGCTCATATCGTCTCGGGCGGCTTTCGTCACATCTCCGCTGGCTAGCCGTCGCTGCTAGACTCCCGGTTGTGACTCTCACAAAACGCAAAGCTCCCCGAGTGCGTCAAAAATAAGAGAAAAAACAAAACAAATGGATAAATAAAAGGGAAGAATTGAGGGATTCCCCGACATGTCGAGCAGCAGTTGAGGTTGCGTCGATAAGATACCACACTCGGGAGCATTCGAGTTCGCGCTTGTAGGAGGCTCTTCTTTCTTTGCCGTGTCTGCGGCGGCACGCAAATCAAGAGACTGGGCTTTCCCAACGTGCCTGCTAGCCAAGGCCGACCCAAGATCGTGTAAGGTCGGCATAGGTTCTCGCGTTGGTCGGGTGTTTGTTCCGTAAAGTTTTCGCAAATGTGACAGGCGAGTGCTTTTTAACTTCTAACCTTTGCAGTTGGACGTAACACTCGAAATGTCCTTCGTTTATGGGGGTCTTGTGCTATCATTTCGTTTTGTTAGTATGAGACCGGTTGCTGCTTAGAGTGCTTATGCCAGTAGCATTGCACAACTATAACCTTTCGATTGACCTGCCCTTAAGTTGGGTCGGTGAAATTTGTTGGTCAAACCTTCCTCGTGTTACGTTAAATGTGGAGGCTTTTGTTAAAGTCAGAGAGAGTATAAAGATGAGCTGGTTAAGCGCAGACGTTGTAACCCTGGAGCATTGTGAAGAGACGGGATAAACACAAACCAGCAGCTCGGAACACAGCTCAAAAGCACAAAGAAACCTCGAAAGGAATAGAACCGTGCAACAACACTTCTCAATGAAGGCACTTTAAACCGATGCAGAAGAAAGGGTGAACAAAACTAGGGTGATTGGGCAGAATAGAGAATGAGCCAGGAAAGCTAATAACAAGGCAAAGTGTAAACTGACAACAACCCAATACAAGAAGGCAACCAGACCTGACTAATCCATCGCTAAAAAAAGCCAAAGGTGAGAACTTTGCGAGAATTAAGCATGTAGGCACACTCTTATAGGGTTAGTGAGAGGATGAAGCATGTCACTAAGACAATCATTACTACAAGTAATTATCTACTCCTTTACTGTTCATAGCCATCTTTTTCCCCACGAGGTATTTTAGTGTTTTCCCAGACAACACCGCAATTGACACATCGGGAAAGGTGTTTAGCCGACTTGCACAAACTGCTCTTTTATGTTCCCACAATCTGTTGTTTTTAAAACTAGCAGCCTGTTTCACATAGTAGGATGCACACATCGCAGGTGTTTCATACACCACACCCAGATCGCAAGACAGGTATATTTCTCTGTGATTCTTACTACATCCACTTCTTTCTGACAAGAAGGGAGTCTGCCTGATCAGCTGAAAATTAGGTCTTAAAACCACAGTTGCACCTAGCTTCCCTGCTATAGCCATCATGTTAAGCAGTACATTATGAAAGTAAGATAAACAGGCAATTGTACTTTTATCGATGTCTTCAAGATTGACGAAAATAATCCCTGGAGAAGGGAAACAAGGGGGACAAACACAAATCTCCAACACAGTTCTTTTATGTTCACATAATCTGTCTTTTGTAAACCCCTTATTCCCCTTCTCTGGGAATTATTTTCGTCATTCTTGTCCAGCTCGCTTGCACCTTTGTATTAATTGTATTATCTTCAAGATTGCAGGTTCCAAACGAAGAGTATAATTGTTGAAAATAAAGTGGAGAGGTTTCTTAGAAAACACAATAATTTAGCTTTCCCCAGAGACATGGCTATAAACGTCTAGGGAAGGAATCATTGACAATTTCTAGTAATAACAATTGTTTTAGCAAAGTCTCTGTTGCTCTCCCGGTCCCCGCTAAAGCAGCGATTCTGAAACCTTTGGCCGTTATAGTCACCCTGACCCACTCGAAGGCTGTTCGGGGACCCCTAAGACATTCTGCCTCAGAAATCTTGTGCGATGCCATAAAGGGCTTTTTTTTTTTAGAGCAGTTTTTTCTTTATTTGGCACGGACACCCATGAACGCTCTGGAGGACCCCAGGGGGCCCTTGAAAGCGTTCACAGTTTGAGAACTGCTGTGCTAATTCTGCAATATTTTTTCCATCCTTTTTTTTTTTTTTTAGTCTGTCGTCTTGTTAGGTCTGGCTATGGTTCTCTGAGTTGGTTGTCATCATTGTTCATTTTGCCCTATTGTTCATTTTTCTGGCCGATTCTCCTTTCTGACTGGCTGCCCTGGTTTTGTACGCCTCTTCTTTAACGGTTCGGGTTTGAGGTGCCTTTTGTCTGAATGCGTAAATGTGTGGTTCTTTTTGTTGACTTATGAGAAAACTGTGATTTTTTGAGCTTCCCTCGTATTTCTGACCTATAAGCTGTGCTTTGCTCTGGTCCCGGGCATATGTTTAAGGACAGATTTATGAAATTAAACATTAGATATGTCTACAGTTTCGTGTTAATGCTTGTGCTGTCCTTCCCCACCCTCCAAGATTACAATGTCAAGACCTTCATTCTAGTGAACCTATGCAAAGCATCCTTAGTACAATAAAGTTCAGAAAAAAAACTCGTCGAGTTTATTCGATTCCATTCTGAGAGACACTGACATCTTGTGCGTTTTGGGCTCTACTCGCAATGACGTCAACATAACAGCTCTCAAGGTGCATTAATTTTTCGTTTCGCTGACCACTGTGGACTGCCCCTTGCGTAAAAATTGGTTTACAGGAAGGCAAGGAGCTCTGTGTAAGCCACAGGCTTTGCTGATAATCTTGTGTGTGTAATTTTTACCAGCCATTTTATGCTTGCTTGTGACAAGTCTTGCAGTGGAATTTGTTTGGTTTCGATAATGAAATGTTACATACCCTGGAAATGACTGCTGTGTCTTTATAGCTAAGCTTACAATTTACTTTCTTGAATAGGGGCCACCTGGGGAAGAAATGGCAGTAGATGAAAATGACGATGTACAGGTAAGTCGTTAGTGATTCACTGTTGCTAATTTTTGTTTGGGTTTGAAGATTTTACTTTGCAGAAGCCATTCTTTCTAGACACGTCCGATAAGCATAAGCAAATTCTTTATATGCAAGCAGTTTGCTCTGCAGGAAGGTACCACTGTGGTTGTGTTAGTGCAGTGGAAGCACCTTATACACATTTATAAGGTGTGGTGGTGGAAGTAAGCCTACAGGCTTTCATTTGCAACTTGACCACCTTGAGGTAATGATATTAAGAAAATAAAGGCCGGTTCTCACATGAGCGAAGCGCTGATGTAGCGCTGCTCACGTGCCGTCAGCTACTTATCGTCTGCTATAAGCAACAGTTTTGACGGTGCGATACAAAGCTGGTGAATGCTCCCATCGGCACGTGCTTAGCGCGAGGTCAGCGCTATGCTTGTAGCGCTCGGCTGCATGTGTGAACAGGCCTTAAGAGTGCCAACCAAGCAGCCAATCCTTTGGAACACTTTGAAAATGTAAAAGATCCTGGTTACTTACACTTTTAATGTTTTAGTCAAGATAATGTTCATTTTAAAAGTTAGGGGCTCCAGTAACCACGATTATAATGTAGGTTAATAGTTGATGATGAAATTAGCTGATTAATTGGATTAATGAAAATAAATGGATTATTAATAAAAAAAAACTAATTTTTGTTTTTGCACAATATTTTTTTTTCTAGATTTGTGACTTTTTATTATAAGAAATGAATACAAAACATTCCTCCAGCATCAGCTATTTCTTATTAGTAACTAAATTTCTTGAGGACGGTGGAAACATTTCAGCCAGGTGGATAACTTCTCTTAAAAAGATTTGCAGTTGACATATTTGCGACCCTCGGTAGGGCTGAGATAGATTGAGCGTGTCTTTCCATCACGCTTGTGCTGGGGCGAGGAGGCGCGCTGTCGGTTCCTTCTTCCTGGTGGTGGCTACAGCGGCTTGGTTTCAGACCTGCTCCGCTTCGCTTGAGTTCCCCATCTTTGCCGCTCGCTCGAGGAGATCGCTGGACCATTGAGACTGTCTTGCACACCCTTGGCAGTCAAAGAGAATAACTCTGTACACAGCTCCTGGCTGGAGAGCCTTCTACAGTAGGGCAAAGTGGCAGCCAGGTTGGTTTCTTTGTCGCTTCGAACTTCGCTTAACATGAATAAGTATTTTTTATTTGTTGGAAAATATGGACCCCATCTACTTTGGGGCAAGTCAATTTTGATTTCTCTCTCAGGACCTTCTTAGGGTCTGCTTAGTGGCAACAGCAATGTCTTTTTTTTTTCCTTAGTTGAGGTCTTTGACGTGTTGGTGTTTTTTGATGAAAATTAAGTTTATGGCCAAAGGTTCTGCTGGGTATTTTTCGATAAATGTGGAGAATACTGGCCTTTGGTTTTAAGCAGAGTTTCCAGATTTCAGAATTTATTTCTTGCACAATTCACCAAAGCAGACCTTTGGTTTTTATTCTACACAAGTACAAGTCCGGTACATAAAATCGACGAAGAAATTTTGTAAATAAGCAAGTGGCTGTGCAAAGGAATGGACAGTTGTGGATGGGTGTGTGTGAATTCAATAATTGTCTTTTCTTTTTGTCTTTTTGATTGCATAATTTGAAGAAGGTAGCATTATCATTACCAGTGCCGCATGCTTGATAAGATTTTCTCTGTTTACTCTTCACGCCATTTAGTAACGGTTATTCAGCCTACATTTATCGGTGTTTTCGACGAATAGCGAGAGCATGTGAAACCCTCGTTACAGGCTGTTTTGTTGACTGGCATTGTCGTCCCCCTCTTGTCTCTGCAGAACATAGAGATGGAGGGCAGTGACATTGCAGAAGGGACGCACGAGATTGAGCTTACCAGTGTCACCAAGGAAGGCCATCCAAAAGGGGACCCTAGTCAATTCAAGCTCCTGAAGGTTTTGGGACAGGGCTCCTTTGGCAAGGTGAGTGCTCGCCCCGCTTTAGTCGTTGCCCCACGGCCGGCAGAAGGTCGGTGTGACTTGATGTATTGGTGGATGCTTGCCACCGTGTGACGGTGAATTGCAGTTTTTGTTGTGGTCTCGGCCATGAAAGTGGTCCTCTCACCACTGTCATGTTGCAGTTGATGAGTCACTATTTACTGAGGAATTAGAAGGAAAAGTGTAGGAGACATGTTTACTGTCTGTTAGTTCTAAAGTGTCGCTGGAGCCGGTGCCCTCATTAAAGGAGTCGGGAAACGCTTTTCCAACTTTTTTCTGTTTAGCTTTCCTCCTCAACTCATAAATTGCGCATTCTACCAAACAGTTCAAGAAGACGGAAAGGGGGGAGTCCCATCTTGCTCCGACTCTCGTTTGTGCACTTGGATACAGCCATTCTCCACCTAGATTAGCCCGTCGCTTAAAATTCAGGCAAAAGTTGCTTTCCCCTTCCCGTTCGCCCCGAAGCTGACAGTGCTGTGGAAGCTACGTGCTCCTTGGGCCAGCCACACTTTTGCCACGTGATCGCGCTCTCTCGCGCATACCCACGCGCAGAGAATGAGGTCAGAGGTCAGGTGATGAAAGGAAGGCGGCTGATTGGTCCGGCAAGTGCGTAGCTTCCACCACAATGTCAGCTTAGGGGTGAAGGGAATAAGTGAGATCCGGTGTTGTGTGATTTGTGTTTGGGCCCGGTGATGCGCTGCGGGGACCACGGATGTATCACAGTGAAAAGACAGAGCGCATACGAAGGGAAGGAGGCACGAAATAGTCCGCTGTTCAAATTTTTGTACCAAAAGTCGGGCTTTTGATTTTGTACCTTTTTTTCTTTTGGACCACTAAACGATGTGCTATTAGTAAAATCCCAATATAAATTGATTTATTCCAGCCCAAAATTCGTTTCATGGGCTTTTTAATTGAAGACCAATTTGATGCTTCTCTAAGATATTATAACAACAACTATGGTTGTTCTCAACCTGGGCTTTGATGCCGTGGTGTGCTAAAATAAAAGCTCTGTACTTATTTTGTATCTTTTAATATGCTGCTCCTTCCTTGTACTTGCATATAGTATTTTAAAAATTTCTTAAGAGCAAGTACAGTGATTTATCTGACTGGCTACAAAACATGGCGATCATCTGGCGTAGCTGGATTAGTCATTTCAGTTAGTTTCAAAGGTTGCGGTGAAGTGAGGTAATGCAAACAGATGCTTCGGATGGCACAAGTGAGAGGAAACATCCTTCTATTTGTTCACTCTTTGATCTTCCTAGTGATGAGGTATCCCAATTTGTACCCAATTATGTTTCGACATTGAAAGCATCGATATTCACACGTTTTGCTCCTGCCAACCAACCAATGGCAAAGAAATAAAGAAAAATTGATTTATTAGGTCAGGATAGTCAGGCTGGGTGGACCTTTCAAAATAAGGCTTTGCAGTGTGGCCTGGGAGGTGCCTGAGGTTCTCTCCAATGCTTACAATTTATTTTGCAGGTCTTTCTTGTGAAGAAGATACTGGGGCCTGACACTGGTACCCTTTATGCCATGAAAGTTTTGAAGAAGGCCACTCTCAAAGGTGAGGAATCTTGCAGGCATGCTTTATATACATTGGGACTTGGCTTAATGCTTGAAAGAGGTTGGGGTGGTTGCTGTTGCTAGATTTGTTTCTTGATCATTCTAGTGTGGATCATGTGCCATACCAAACAATGCATTAGGTGAAAACATGTCTCTTAGGCTACACTACCTCATTGTTTTTTGTGGGCTTTGTGCAAACAAGGTAGGGTCAGGAAAGTATTTGGTGGCAGATATTTAATACTATTTAGAAGGCTGTAAAGAGGTACCGCTCGATTTTCAAAGCCTAATTTCACGGTTGCAGCATATAGCAAAATGTCCCAGACAATGCTAGCCAATTTCTAATTAAAACTGGCGAATCCTTGCAGAAGAAGGTCTACGGCAAGCGACCCTGTCACTCACCCTAGTGTCGGTGTTGTCCTCTCGTTAGAATTTTGCTTTTCTGCTAGAAAGATCATAGCTCTTGGAATGGGTCGTAACCAAGAAGAGTAAAAAAAATCAGGCTTGGATCATGCTGACAAAGACCAGAATGCACAGAATGTGTCCCGCACAGACCACACTCCGTGTCGTTTGCAAAAAGATTTTTCAATCTTGATCTATTTTCAGTCTACTGTTTTCAAATATTTTTTTACATTTATCTTTTAAAATTTATTTATACTTTTTATTTAATTTATGTATTAATTTGATGTCTTATTTTTTATTTTATCTTTTTAATTTATTTTATTTCTATTTCAATTATCTATTTATTTATTTTTATCTTTTGTTTATTACGTTCATCCCAAATGTGCCACTGTTACTGGCACTTTTGCATTCAAATAAATACATAGACCCATCCATACCAGCTGCGCTAGTATCTCGGTGGCCGTAGCATTGGACTGCTACCGCACCGACACAGGTTCAAGCATTGCCGGGGTTTAAACTTTGTGTATAATCTTTATACATAATCTAAACATCCGTCATGCTCCCAGCATGTCACTCATTAGTGACACTTGTTCATAACAATTTCCTCGTAAAAAAAGCGGCGGAAAGCACATTCTGCGTTAAAAAGTAACTGAAGATGGCTTCTCAGTACTTTCGAATTTTGACCGTGCGAATGTAACGAGTTGGCATGTAACCGAGATGTCCCTTGCAGTTCGAGACAGGTTACGAACCAAGATGGAACGAGACATCCTGGCCGACGTTCGGCATCCTTTTGTGGTCAAGTTGCACTACGGTGAGCCTCCTGTTTGTGCCACTAGTAGAGTAAGCGCTCCTTGTAGTGGAGTAGTGGCATGTTGTTTACCTCTCTTTTGATCCGAGCCGCCAAATTACTTCGCCTACAGCGTTTCAGACGGAAGGAAAGCTTTACCTGATTCTGGACTTCCTCAAGGGTGGAGACCTGTTTACGAGGTTGAGCAAGGAGGTGGGCATTGCATTCGACAAATTCTCTGACGTGTCAGCGATATCCGAGCTTCTTAAAATGGAAGTCGGCTGGCACAAATGGCCCATTGTCTTTTGTGATTCGTGCGTATTTGCGTCACCATGTCGATGCGGTAAGTATAGGATTTGTCGCAAACCTTGGAAGGGTCAGGAAAGTGTTGGAAAATGGGAAGCTTAATTGTGTTTTTGATTTATGACGCTGTGTGAGACAAGCTGTGGGGTCAAAGGCCCAGAGCTGATGGCAGCAATGAACTCGGTACTGTCATGTTTGCGCGTGTGCAGTAGCGTGTAAATGAGGAAGCCGTTTCTGCATTAAATGGCTAAACCATCGACCATTGTGTTGGCAGAGTTGCACTGCGTAGCGACGCTTTGCAGTGATCGTCACTCGGGACAGAGTGGTGTACTACAAGAATCTTCCTGGCCTGACCTTTAAACCCGGGTGGGGGCCAAACGTCAAAATTAGCGCTAAACATAGCAGTGTTGCATCCGTGAATCACTGGGCAAGAACTGCGCTGGATTAGATGGTTTATCATTCAGTATTAGCTAAAAGTCTATGGACACTGCGTCGCATCATTTCTGCAGGCTGGCTGTGGGGCCATATTTTTCTCTGTACCAGTGTTCAGGGTGTATGGTTCCTATTTCCCTCTCAAAACTAGCTGGTGCACTGTACAGGGTCGCTTTTACATGTTCCTTTGTGTCCAGCCGAGCTCGTAGAGTTCTGTGTAGAAACGGAGAACCTGCTTGAACAGGTTCTCTATTTTTATATTTTAGTTGGGCTGACGTAACTTTGCCCTATCCTGTATATCCCATCTTATGACAAAAATACCTTTCGTGCGTGAGTCTCGAGAACAGTCTAGACATGTTTGTAAATTTCAGGTCATGTTCACGGAGGAGGACGTCAAGTTCTACTTGGCCGAACTAGCGCTGGCCCTAGACCACCTGCATGGGCTCGGGATTATCTACAGGGATCTCAAGCCGGAAAAGTGAGTCCGGGACCCATTCTCTCCTCTTTTATATTTCTAGAATTCGCCGCGCTTTTGTATTGGGGTAATTTGGCTTGCATCAGGAATGTAACTTGCCTCGTTGTATGTCAGTGAGCTTTCCAACTTTGGACTTTATGACCGCATTTGCTTGTGCGGTCACAGACGAGGTGGGAATGGCAGGGCGTTTCTTCTGAATGTTCGGATTCTGGCTTGCACTCATTGCCTATCTCCGTGGCTTGGACACTCGAGGCTCTGAGACGCCGGTGCGTTGTCGAACATAGGGAGCTCGCCCTGGAGGCAGGACATCTCAAACTACTCCCTGCCCTCCTCATCCCGTCGGTGGGCGTAGTTTTTCCGTCGAAGTTCCGGGGGCAGGATTTCGGAGTCGTGTCGAGGGGGTAAGCGGGACGCCGTGGCGAACGTGCAGCATCCTGCTGGATTCGGACGGGCATATCAGCCTGACGGACTTCGGGCTGAGCAAGGAGGCGCTGAACGACCAGAAGGCGTACTCCTTCTGTGGCACCATCGAGTACATGGCTCCTGAAGTCATCAACCGGAAGGGGCACACCATGGCGGCTGACTGGTGGTCTTTTGGGGTGCTCATGGTGAGGAAAGTGTTCGCTGAGTGTGGTCTACATTAGACTACTCCAGTAGGCCACTCCGTGTAGTCCACAGTAGACGAGTTAGACAGTCTACTCATTGCAGTTTGTAGTAGGCTAGTCCAGTGGACTACTTAGCGTAGCCTACAGAGACTACTCCAGTAGGCTACTCGATGTTGTCTGCAGTAGACAAATCCAGTAGATTACTCATGGTAGTCTGCAGTATAGTGGTCTAGTAGACTACCAGGTGCAGTCTACAGTAGACTACTCAATGTAGTCTACAGTAGACTGTTCAGCATAGCCTATAGGAGACTACTCAGTGTAGTTTAGTGTAGACTGCTCAGTGTAGCCTATAGTCCAGTACTCGGTGAAGTCTACAGTAGACTACACAGTGTAGTCTACAGTAGACTACAGCTACTGAATGTAGTCTACAGTAGGCTACTCAAAATAGTCTATAGTATACTACTTAGCATAGTCTATAGGAGACTGCTCAGTGTAATCTACTGAGATTTTCTGTTGGTAGTGTGTCTGACACGGTTCCCACATGCAAGCGATTGGTCGTCTTTTCTGTTCTTGCTTTTGAACCTGAAAGACTAGCATCCAAACTACTCTTGTTCTGGGTTGCACTCATTCAGGACACCGACTAGTATAATCTGGTTTTCATTACTGTCCTGTGTGCATAAAATGGGAAAACGTGGCAATCTTTGTCTTCATACGCACTACATGTCCACAAGGTTTCCTGGTGACACCGGGGAACCGGATGAATTCACGCCTTTGATGGGAGTATCTACTAAAAAAGTGGCTCGGTAGGGTTCGGTAAAGTCTCAGAATTTACCTTACACCAGGGGTCTCAAACTTGTTCGAGTGTGGGAACAGATGGCCCACTCCCGAAAGGGCGAGGCCTAAGAAGGGGTGGGGGGCGGGTGGATATGTTGCTATTTTGGGACAAAAAGATAAACAAACAAACGGCATTGGCATTTCACATTGCAGAGCAGCCGACTGTCCCAGCGACACGCTAGAGATTTTTTAGACAAGAAACCTTGTGCTCTCTACTTTTTGTAAGCTCGTCTTGAACTCTTGCACAGTATACAAATGTAGTTTTATGACTGGATGGTGAATTAGTGAAATCAAACCAATTGAGAAGATGGTATCATCGAGGCTACGTTTGTGTAGAAGGCATCATCGTTCTCCTTGTTTCATTTTAGTTCGAGATGTTGACCGGGGGCCTGCCGTTCCAAGGAACCAACAGGAAGGAGACCATGATCCAGATACTCAAGTAAGACAGTTCTTCCTCCCTAAGGGACAGGGATAAGCTCGGTAAAATATGTTGCACAGAGAAATGCTGGAACTAGTGACCGTGACTTTTTGGCTGAACATAATGAAGTAGGAACACTGACGCCCCCCTAATTTTTTTACAATCTTTTGCCAGACGATTTATTATGGTGTCAGAAGACTACTCAATGAATATTTTGCTACAGCATCGCATATATTTTTAATAAAGTACAAAACAACTGTTTGAAACCGAAACTGGGCTGGGGAGGAAGAAGAAATATTGAGGAGGAGAGAGAGTTGCCAAAATCACGTACTGTGCAACATTTTTTTTTTTTAAGCAACATATTTGCAGTTTTTTTTTTTAAAGCCACCAAAAATGGGAACCATATTTTGTGGCCATTTCTAGTATTGAGTGTGTGTCTTCGGTGACCCACAACTTTGATTATCTTTGGTCTTTCTGTCTAAACCATAGAAAATGGCACATGGTCACAAAGAACAGAGCGATTGTGACTCGGTTGGCTGTTTTGGGCAGAAAGAAAACAAATTTTGTTCTGGGTAGTTGGGCTCTCATATGTCATGTAGAAATAAAAACCTTGGCAAGCATAAATACCCTGACGGTGTCCCTTTAAGCTCATTTTGCTAATGCTACTGCCCCTGTGAAAGAGAATGGCATCTTGTTCTGGACTGCTAATATGTAGTCTACTTTGATTCCATAAACCCACCCCCTTTTTTTTTTAATTGGTGGGACATATTAAATTTGAAGTGGAGATTTGATTGTTACAAAAAATTTAGAACTAACATTTTGTTTTATATAGAGGGTGTTTGATTTTAATTCATACAGATTTATTACAAAGATACTTAAAAGGTACACTAATGCAGTTTGTGCAGATGAGTTATATGGCCAAAGGGACATTATATAGGTACCTAATCTTCACAATAAGAGTGATAATTAACTAAAATTTATTAATTAACTTTTTAAATAATGAAAATACACATGGTTTTAATTAGAGACTTGTTGAACATCATTGAAAAACACTAAATCAGTCCATTTTAGATTGACTTGAAGGGGGGCACACCTAAGTTATCGCTCATGCGACAGGCGCAAACCCAGCAGTGGGGAAACACGGATGATTAGATTATCATTTACATTTCTTTACATAATTTGTACTGTAGGTTTCTCGCATAAATCGAAACAAGGCATGCAGATGCTCCACAGAGTTACTTTCTACATCCTAGTATCCTGTCGGTTGCTTTGCCTGTGTTTGGTGAGAAGGTTCGAGAATGAAAAGGAAGATATGCAGGGGTCTCCACGATTTGCTTAACTTTTGGGAATGGTCTGTTTGAGACTACTATTAAAATACAATGAATTTCAGATGTGGCTCTTCAAGAATTATGGTAGTATTTTAAAGTAAAGTCAGTGCAGCGGTGCAGGTTTTTTTTTTTTTTTTTTTGCGCACTTATTAAAGGCTCACTTTACTCTAGTTTGAGATGCTATTTGAAGCTAGCATTACAGGTGTTGCAACTGCTAGAGTTGATACTGAGGATACAGTAGACTCATTAATTCAGACTCCAGGAAGCCACAAATTTTGTTTTAATTATCGGAAGTTTGAACTATCTGAAATTCATCTAAATATGATGCAAGATAAAATTATGATTTGCCATATGAATGGCTACACATGCAAAGCAGATATTTGATGATTTCCTCTACGTAGGCCTACTTACTAGTCATAAGCAGGTATGCCACACAAGGAACATTTGTGAAATGTATAACAAGTTTATTTATCCCTAAAAAAAATTGCAGGGCTAAGCTTTGCATTTAAGAGTGGAACGCGATAGCTAAATATAAATCCCTGCTTGTTTCCAAGCTGTCCCAGCCTGTCTGCGTGGCCTAGTGGGTAGCATGTCTGGCTCGCAATCGAAGGGTCGCGGGTTCTATCCCGTCTCCACCCAAACTGTTTTGAATTTTTTCTTCGAGGAAGATGAATTACTTAAGAGCCAATCAGGATTTTTCCATCCCACCAATGCAGGGTTTTCTTCACAATGAGCTTCATAAAGCCATTGCTTTCGCTTTAAAATGTTTTTTTTTTTTTTGGACTGTTTAAAGAACACATCACTCAAAACAAAATTTTGTTCATCAGGCCAAGACTTGTCTAATGTGAACCATTTAGCAGGGGGCACATGAACGATGAACATGGGCCCTGCGGGGCTTGTTTCAGAGCGACTTGCGTGGACGTTGTGACATGGACCTATGCCATGCCGCCATGTCACAGCATAGCACAAGGTACTGTGGAAATTTACGTGTGGTGCCCTTTTTCATAGCTCATGGTGCCCTGCTTGAGCCCCATTGAGTGCGCTTCTCACCGAGCACCGGTGCACTGCGGAGAAGCAACACCCGCGGAAGCAAGCGTCGCGAGTGTTGCCTCTCTGCAGTGCACCGGTGCTCGGAAAGAGTTGCGCTCAACGGGGCCGGGAGAACAAAAAGTAGGAAACGCACAAAAGTGCTGTTTGAATAAGTTGGCTTATTAAAGCCGCTTAATTAGTTAAAAACATGGCGGGACACCCAAAAATTTTTAAATTTGTTTGAATTAACCAGAAGTATGAAATATCAGAGTTTGAATTACTGCAAGCCTGCTTTAGTTTGGTAAACAAAGCTTGAGATTCAGGATGTGATGTAGCTGCAGGCAGTTGCCACCACCAGAGTAATTAGTAATTGTAATTAGTAAAAAAAAATATTTTGTTTTCGCAGTCCCAATTTTTTTTTTGTGAATTCAACTTATCGGATATCTTTACGACCCCCAGATCTTCTGAGGTTAGAGTTGGGGTTCACAAAAACTAAGGTTTTTTTCTATCCATATTTTCCTGCCATATTTAGCAGTGTAGAGTCTCAAGTGGAACCTGAGGAGGAGGGAACATTGTTTTAATTTTGAGGTGATATTTTGTGCTGGTAATGCAGAAAAAAGCCTGCAGAACAAATTAGGCTTGCATTTCCAGCTCTCACACTGTTTTGTGGTAGTGCCATGTAATGTGGGCTATACTTCTGCGTTTCTTTTTTATCAGGGCCAAACTGGGCATGCCGCAGTTCCTAAGCCCCGAGGCACAGAGTCTTTTGCGGGCCCTGTTCAAGCGGAACCCGGCCAATCGATTGGGTGAGCGTGAGACCTGCTTTACAATGTCCAATGTTTTTGTAAAGTCGTTCGTTACATTGTTGTCATCCATTGATCATGCCACGCAAATGTGTTACCTCATTGAGCCTGTCTTGGCTTCCACAGATTCCCAGCTAGGTGATGAATCTGTTTCTAAATTTTCAGCTTTTGCAGGCCAGTGTTGGGAAGTACTTAAGTACAATGTACTTAAAGTAGGCTTATAAAACTTCTACACTTTATAAAGTACATTCTCTGGGTATGTACTTGTACTTTACTTAAAGTATCATTTTTTTTCTGGTACTTTTTGAGAAACGTGCAACTCCCAACTTCAAATTACATTCCTGAAATTTGGTTTTGTTCTATTTGTGTCACAAAATGATGCTTTGTCAACTCTGAAGAGATACTGGGAGGGATATTCTACTTTCACCAGGAACGTCAGCAGACGTCGCATTGCTCCGTTCGTTCTGGGGGCGGCTTTTCCGTAGCTTTTAAACTCTCGCTACTTCTCTCTCGGTTAGTACAAACGAAGAGGTTAGAAAGTGTTAGGAGAGCAGAATTAATCAGAATGTAGTGCCTGAGACTGTTGTGCAGAAAAATTAAACTTTCAGGTAGAAGAAGAAAACGGAGGAGAATGTCACAATGTTTTGAGACATACTCTTTTGTCTTTTCCTTCGATTTGAACGTTCCTTATTTTTTAACAATCTCAGGTGTCACATTATGATTATTAATTACCAGATTGCCTCCACTTTCACTGTTTTTTTTCGTTAAGGAGAGGACACCCCTCTGCAAGAGGATTGCTTGTGGAAGCCATGGGTCTGACGTTCTACTCTTTCCTAGTGCATTTAACCCCCTTGGGTGCAACAAGCCCGTGCAGGCGGCGCCGACTTTAGAAGTTGGAGGGACTTCTGATTCTGTCGCCATTTCTGGAAGTTACTAACCTGTGGCGACTTGACTTAGTTCAATATTCACCACCGTTTCCGAAAATAGGTCATGTACCCCTGGTTACCCCTGGGGTAGTGCATACCTGTTAAAAAAAATCACTGTATAGGGGAATAAAAGGGCATCATGAAAGATTGTGTTAAAGATACTTGTACTTTACTTTGAAAGTAGATTGTATTTATTGTACTTTACTTCATGTACATTGCACCCATTGTTCTTACTACTTTGCTTGAAGTACATCACCTCTCATTTAATTTGTACTTTGCTTAAAGTATTTCTAATGCGAAAGCATTACCTGTCCCATGGAGCCAAGCCGGCATTGTTTGTAGCCGTTGTCTGTAGCAGCTGAATTCCCATTGGCCAAAAGCACAGCAACTCTGATGCCTCGTCACGGAAGCCAAGGAGCCGGTGGGGCGCCGTGCATGCATAGTGGGGGAGCGTGATGTCACCGCGGGAGCGCCGTGTGAAAAAGAAAGATGTGGCATGCTGCTTGAGAAATGTGCTGCATGTAGGAATGGTTTCACATTCCTACACGTTACCAGTCTCGAGTGTCTTCGTTGTACTTTACCCAACACTGGTGCAGGCACACGGGCGAGGTGATCCGGAAAGCGTCAAATGAGCAATCCTTGATTTGAATTCGAATTGAATATTGAGCGTATTCTATTCATATCTGAATTTAGGATACTTGCACACCCTACCTTTTAGCCATTCCTCACTAAAACTCTATGTGACTTGTAGTACACGTAGCGGATGTTTAAGACATCTGTGCATTGCTTACAAACAGGTATGTTTGCCCTTAGTAGTCAGGGGCACTACACATCTGTAGGGGCCCATTTTTCTGCAGCCAGTGCCACCGGTTTGGACTGGAAACGTGAGTTGGTGTACAAGTAAGTTAGTGCTATCTTGAGCTTTGCAACTTAGGCCTCCCGTTTTCCTTGGAGTATACTCAATTGACCCCTAAGCCGACAGTTTGGTGGAAGCTAGGTGATTAGCCTCTGAAGCCTGTTTTGTTGAGCATTGGAAGTGATCGTGTCGGCTCCGATTGGCTTTCAGGCTCTGGTCCCAACGCGATAGGGGACATCAAGTCCCAGTCTTTCTTTGCCACAATTGATTGGATGAAGCTGTACAGGAGGGAGGTGGTGCCCCCTTTCATTCCCGCCGTCTCTCGGCCGGACAACACACTCTACTTCGACCGGGAGTTCACCTCCAAGACCCCCGAAGGTTTGTCCGCCGCCAGTTCATCTTTGGTCCTTGAGTGCAGAGCCGTGTGTATGGAACCTTTTTTCGATGCTGACCCTCGTGCGAGCTTAGCTTTTTCTTTCAACTCCCCTCGCACGTAAGGATTGTGAAAAAAGAAATGGCCTTTGTTACCTTAAAGAGAATGATCATTGTATACTGTGGGGGCAGTTTGTCCTAGTAGGCAGTGCACCAAAAAAAAAAATGTTGTGAAAGAGGATGTATGCTGCATGGCCAGAACTCTTGAACTACTTGCATGCATAAACCTGATTCTCCTATATCTTTTGCGTCTTGTATTTTTATCTTAGGTAAAATTTTTAATACATTCTATTGCTTTATTTGTTGGAGTTGGTGGCTGTTGCTTGTACTAAAGCTTGCTTAGGACTTGGACATGCAGCATCAAAGTTTAAACTTTCTATAGATTGCAACTTAATTACCTGATTTAAGTTGGAAGGAGTTGGTCCGGTCATGGCCTGGATCCTTTGCCCCACGTAACTGCTCGGGAGAAAGTATGGCGCTTGAACAGACCCTTTTCAAAACTCCATCGAGCAACATTACCGATCGCCATTGCTTGGGCACGAAACGTGTGATTGGATCAGATTTCTTGCCGACGCAGTTCTCGTTCTCGATACAAGCCGAGGAGAGTTCATGCCGAGCGCCGACAGAACCCTCGTGTCCAATGAACACTCAGACTTGGATGATTGGCTACTAGATGGCGCACACTTTTGAAAAGGGTCCATTGCATGTTTGGTGATTTTATGATCCTGTGACACCTTTCCCGACCTGAAAAAGTAAAACTCTCTTTGTTCGTTTCCTTTCTCGTTACAACGAACCTCTCGTTGCACGAAAGAGTTTACAGGTAATGACAATTTTATGTGTGCAGCTTGGCTCTTCATAGCTGTAACCTTTATTTTTTTTTCTCCGTCCTCTCTCGCTCCCTTCGACGCACTCTCAGACTCGCCCGGCGTGCCGCCGAGCGCCAACGCGCACGAACTCTTCCGCGGGTTCAGCTTCGTGGCGCCCAGCCTCACGGAAGAGGACTACGTCAAGAACAAGGACAACCAGTCTTCGAAATGGGTAAGGGCGCACGCAGTTTCTCGGCAGACCCCCGGGCTGTCCGCGACGTTGACCCGCGGAATGTTCTTCCCGGGCCGCAGTACGGCCTCGCCTTCAAGGAGGCCATCGGGAAGGAGTACGAGCTCAAGGAAGAGCTCGGCTTGGGCTCCTACTCCACCTGCAAGAGGGCGGTCCACAAAACCACCGGGAAAGAGTACGCGGTCAAGGTGAGTGTCATTTGACTCGAGCTAGAGTAATTAAACGACGGAGCGTGAGTATTGCCTTCCTTTTTCTTTCGCCGCCAATTCCTGATTTGCGGAAAAGAAGTCACAAGTGCCAAATTTGACTTTTGGACTTGCGGAAAGCCTCCTTGAGGGTCGCCGGGCTTGGGGCACGATGTTATTTTCGACCTGTGTTTGCAAAATGTGGACCTTGCACTGACGTATGACAAGCAGGAAGCTTCTTGAACCTTCGGGCATCATGTGTGCCACTTAGATACTTCTAATTACATTGTTTTTATAAAAAGGGAGCGGTTTTAAAGCGGCCGTGAGCAAGCAGACACGACAACCACGGCGACCCCGGTTGCCAACGCGCACAAGCATTGGCGCACGCGTGGTGAATCGCGGCCTCGCGCCGTCGTGCTCGTCGTGTCTCCTGCAAGAGCAACGTTTGCTTCCCACAGTTCTCGGTGCCAAGGGTTTGTGACCATTAATTGCGATACTTTACTCTGCAACCGGAGCATATGTAGCTACTCGTAACTTGCGCGTGGTGTTTTCTGAGCAGCGAGCGCTTACGGTGCGATTGCATGACTGAGTTTTTTTTGCCGAAAAGGGAATTAAACGCCGCAGAGTTTTGAGGTCGCGTGCACAGTGTCTCAGACGTTTGCTAATAGCCCGAGTCTACGGGTAGCTGCAGTCACTCTGCGATTGGCTCGCAGAATGTCCAGCGTCCCGTCAGAAGGAGTAGCTTGTTCCTTTTGAGAAAGGATAGCAGGCGGCGGCATTGAGGTGCAGGGTGTCTCTCCTTTTTTCTTTTCCTTCCTTTTCTTCAACGAGTATGTGGAGGTTACAATCAGCTTTGCAAAAAGAAGAAATCTGCCGACTCAACTAAACGCAACTCCGTCTTGCGAATGCTTGCTCGGAGTTTCCCAAACCTCCTCCTCCTCGCAGCTTTATGACGTGCTCGGTTTTCTGCAGAGATAAAGATCCGTCGTACGAATACACCATTAGAGCCTGATTCCTGTGTGCAGGTCATCGACAAGTTTAAGAGGGACTGTCAGGAGGAAGTGGAGATCCTGCTGAGGTACGGACAGCATCCAAACATCCTCACAGTCTACGACGTAAGTAGAAATTTATTGCGCCACTCCCACATTTTTGTTTTGCCGTGCACGCATTTGTGCACGAGCTTGTAGGCATGTGCGGCGTCTTCCGCTAATTTTGAGCATTTGCTTGCTCTCTGTCCCGGTCCCGCCATGTGTCAGGTCTACCAAGACGCGACTTCGGTGTACATAATCATGGAGCTGCTCAAGGGTGGAGAGCTGCTGGACAGGATCCTGAACCAGAAGCATTTCAGCGAAAGGGAAGCGAGTGCTGTCTTGGAAGTTGTTGCCAAGACCATGAAGTTCCTCCACGACAACGGGGTGAGCATTTGAAGAAGAAGATTAATTTATTTTGTTTCGAGCGGCTTGATCGGGGGAGGTCCAAGAAGTGTCGCGATTGTTTTTGCCGTATGGGATATCAACGTGGGCAGTAAAAGCTCGCATTAGGTGACACACTGTCCCACCAGAATGTGAGAAGGCGTTGATTTAATGTTCATGTCAACTGTGTAGCGCAGTATCTTGGAGACTGGACGCTTGTTGTAGTCACTTGCATAAGAGTAGTTGCTTTGTGCGTGTGTTTAGACAGCAGGAAGTTAGTGTGTTTTCTGAATGTTTAGGCAGCAGGATGCACCAGATGCCAATGGGCATCTGGATTCGCCACTGGGGTCTTCAAGGTGCGTCTCGCAATAGCGATAGGAGACCACACGTCGGTATGATGTTCATCTAGATCGAAACGGGCAGAGGCGTGGATTGAACCCGGGACCTCTGGGTTCTGCAGAGCGAGGTTTTGCTCCACGTCCTCTGAGCTGCGGTGCATTTACACACCCGGACACAGATTCCCCTCACTCTCATTTCGGAACCTGCCTTTCTTTCCATCATCCATCTTTGCCACCTTTCAGTGAGCCACATGTTGCATGCCTATAGATTGAGGAGTCATTTAATACTCCCTTTGACGGTCACTGCTCTACGTCTACAGTGGCAAATACACATATGAGAGTTTCCGCGTAAACAGGAAATTCTGTGCACCGTGGGAGGTGCTGGCATTTGTTATGACTTTGGCGGTCTATAACTGTTATATTCACATTGTGTTTCGCTTTGCTGGGGCTATTTATAGTCTCGAAAATTGACGCTCCGTGAACGTGCACGGAGTTGTATCGTACATATGAGAGGGTTGCTTTTCGTGTTGGCTGCCCTGGTGGTAGTGGCAACTGGAGCGCATGCCCTTTGAATTTAGACTTTTAACGCTTCTCAGAATTGAACTCGGAGGATGTAAGCTCATCATCCGACGGAGAAGCTTAGTAGAGTACCTTTGGCTGGGAATTGGAGACTGCACGAACGCCGCCACAGAAACTGAAGTGCCAAAATGAAACCGAATGGAAGAAAGTCGACAACATTTTGTCAGCAATATATATATTTCTATTCGACGCTTCTCAACTCGAAGTGCTTGCTCCCATCAGGTAATTAATAAAAACCTGTGCATTGACTCTTTCTTTGTACAATTCCTTTGGAATCAAAACCCAACCACTAAAAAGCATCTTCAGGAAAAGAAAAAAAACAACCCAACAACGAAAGGGTCATATTTCTCAAAAATTAGTTTTTTTTACAGAGAAAAGCTGTGGCCCGTAGTTCGCTCAATGGCAAAAGCGATGCGGTGGATTATGGGATGTAGTTCCCTTTACCGTGACCTCAGTAAGGAGACAGCAGTGCAGCGACGGATGGCATCTCCCCCCGTACAGGTGGTGCACCGCGACCTGAAGCCCTCCAACATCATGTATGCGGACGAGAGCGGCAGTGCGGAGTCCCTGCGCATCTGCGACTTCGGCTTTGCCAAGCAGATGCGCGCCGAGAACGGCCTGCTCATGACGCCCTGCTACACGGCCAACTTTGTGGCGCCAGAAGTGCTCAAGAAGCAGGGCTACGACGAGGCCTGCGACATCTGGAGCATGGGCGTACTGCTGTACACAATGCTCGCGGGGTGAGCCTTACGACTCGTTCATTCTCGTTGGCACATTTGCACGACATTGGCAATTACTTTGCCGAAAAATGCGTCTAAAGGCCTCTTTCACACATTTGCGTTTGCTTGCGACCGAGTCTCGCTATCTCTTAAGACTGGAAAACGCGCTGGCACCGCCATTGACGAGGCAATGCTGGAACTGTGTTTCACTGGGTGCAAAAGTTTTTCGGTATTTGCGAGGTCAAATGTATGTACTGTCTACGAGAAATTGGCATTTATAACACTGTTGGAAGTTTTTCGATCCAAGAAAAATAGAATGGTGCACAAAAAAAAAAAAAAAAGGAAAATGTATGGAAATCCGAGTGTTTTACGGCCACCTGGTAGACGGCGCCGGTACATTCTCTTGTCGTAAGAGGTCCCGAGAGATTCTAAGGCACTCGTCCGTGATTGGCCCCGAGCGTGTGAACCGATCTTCACTTTGTGCAAATTCAGTGGCCTGGGGGCAGAAAATTTTTGCGTAGTGAGAACGGCCAGACGTGCGTAGCCTCGGAGTTTTCCCCCTTTAAATTAGAAAGGGTGGCTGCCGCCGTCCATCGTCGTGGACGACCTTCAAGGCGGTGAAGACTGCTGTCTCTGCCGTCTCGACAGATCCTGTTTCTTGACGCGGCGGCAGCCTTCTTTCTCATCGCGTTACGATAGCACAACGTGCGTGCGTTTTCTCTGTTTTGGTCTGTCCGCGCTGATCAGGAGGATTTGGTGCCGTAGGTGCGCCTTCTAAGGGGAATGAGTGGAGTAAAATATGTGCCCTTAGTAAAGTATTCGATAATAGCTCAAATTTGCCGTCGCTCACAACGTTCACTAATTGTAACGAGCAAGCGTCGTTCAGCCGGTCTCCTTTAGTCCATTGCGGGTTAAAAATAGTGGCGGGACAAGCCTCTCCCACGAAATTCTCTGCTTTTCGTGATTGGTGGTTTTTCCTTGTCCACTCCCCTCCTCTCTAGCATTCACTCTTCTAAAATGGAAAGAGTGGAGGTCTTTGTGGAAGGAGCGACTGTCCTGCTTTTGTGAACCCTGAACAGACTATGGGTACTACTTACTGATCCAGCAGTTTGATACTTTAGACCTATGTTCGAGGAGAGAGAAAAAATCTGGCCGTAGAAGGCCAGCAATTAAGAACGTACCGGTGACAGGAGGTTTTCTTGTCTCCTTGATGCTTCTGGTAATCTATGCTACATTTTTGCTCCGTCAGCAATGTTATCAAGATGTCTACCAACCTGGAAAGCTTGGAAAACCTAGAATTGTCGGGGGAATTGTCAGAAAATCGATTAAATGAGGGAAAATGTTTGTTGTGGGCGGCACAGTGACACGCAACAAAGCAAGAGGATGTGGCGTGCGGTGGAATGGATGTCCTTTGCGCTGAGGGACAGTTGCCTGAGGTATTACTATGCAGCAAGAGCCACCGCCCGGTCCGTCGGATTAAACAGGAACAGCCCGAAAAGCTCCTGCAAACCCATCCTCTGCATTTTGTTTTTTTGTAACGGTTGGGGAAAACCTGGAAAAGTGGGGAAATTTGAGAGGAGCAATTTGGTAGACTCCCAGACTGTGTGTCAAGCTTTCTGTACGAACACCCCTTTTCAGGCACACACCCTTCGCCAACGGGCCCAACGACACTCCAAACCACATCTTGGCGAGGATCGGGGAGGGCCGATTTGACCTCATGTCCGGGAATTGGGCCAACATTTCATGTCCGGCAAAGGTGGGTTATTGTGCGGCTAAAGTTCTTCGTAGCTTAGCCCGGACGAGGTGTTTCCACTTCCTTCGATAGTGTGGGTTATGAGAGAGCCTACAAGTACACTGCACGCCACTCTTGTGCAAACAAAACGTTGGAGCTTCTTTGCATTTTCTTTCGGAGGAGTATATTCCAGCACAAAATTTTACCTGTTAGGCTAGTGCCCCAAACAGACACTTTCTACCGTGCTAGTGGTTTTCATGACAGGCTCTTGATTCTAAGAGAAAAACAAAGTAAACCAGAAATCACTTGTTCGCACTAACAGCATCGTGCTTTGTGCTATCGGGTATGAATGAAACGCGAATAGTGTGGCCTTTGATATGTGCTGCGCAACCAAGAGGCAACAAGGAACTGCTGAAACTGTACGGTGGATAGAGGGGCTACGAGGGTATGCACATTGGAGTTGACTTGCACCCTCGCCACCACCTTTTGTCCCTTAATTTCATCTGTTCCTAGTTGCCTCTTGGTAGCGCAGCATGTATCGTAGGCCATGCGCTCCGCTGTTTGCATTTCATTCATACTCAATAATACACGGGGCAGGTTTTATTTCAGCCTGGATAACAGTGCCACTAGGACTGTAATTCAATAAAAGAATATTCAGAAGAGGCGTCATGCTCTTAAGACATCTGGGGTTCTTAACTAGCCATTTTACTATGGAAGCTGCCTGTAAGCTGTACAGACGTTGTGTAAATGCTATGATCATTCGTACGCAGAGAGTCTTGTAGGCGGGGATTGTTAGTCGTCCTTGGTGCAAGCGTAAAGAGGCACTAAAAGGTTTTTGAGATCATTGTTTTATTGTCATAACTCAATCTATGTGCTCTCAACATCCTAAAAGACTCGAAACATCATTCACGCTCGGCCGATTTGCGTATTAAAAAAGTGATCAAAGGTCCGGACACTTATCGTTGGCACAGAATGACAGATTAGGCTACCAAACTTTGCTGAATATGGTCGAACGACTGACTTTGCTTGTCAGCCACATGCGAGCAATGCGTTCCTGCGTGGACAAGCGGGTCTGGTCGGCCGCTCATCAACGAGGGAGCCCCTCACTCGTGAGTGGTTGGCAAGCGCCGTCCGTCGTTCGACCATACTGAACAAGGTTTAGTAGTGCCATCTGTCGTTCTGCGCCAACAGTAAGTGTCCGGAATTTTTATAACTTTTTTGATATGCAAGTCAGCTGCGCATGAATGTAATTTTGGGTTTCTTAGGATGCTTAGAGCTCGTAGATTGAGTTATGACCGTAAACCGAGGATCACCAAAAGCCTTTAAGTGTGCCCCTTTATGTTCTAGCAAGAAGGAAAAGAAGGGAAGCGGCTTTTTGCCGCCAAGCGTTGTGAAGCCCACCTGACGCGTCAAGTTTCCAACTTTGCAGCATCTAGTCCAGAAAATGCTCCATGTGGATCCCAAGCAGAGGTATAGGGCTGCAGATGTGCTGGGCCACGCCTGGATCGTCAACAAAAACAATCTTCCAGTCAGCCGGCTCGTCCACCAGGAGCCCCACCTAGTGAAGGTGCGTGCCTTGCATGTCTTGCTAACCTTTTGAGTGCCGTGTTCTTTTTCGCTGCATATCGAACACAATTTCGGTCTCGTGTATAAAAACTGTAGCGTGCTTCAGAAATTATGTTTATTAGTGTTGTGCAAATGTTCAAATTTTGGAACAGTAGTCTCGAATAATACCTAATCAATGTTTGTTTCAAAATGAACTGGAACATTCATATTTTTCCAAGTGAGCGCGCTTCTTGCCGAGCACGGGTGCGTTGCGGAGAAGCAACACCTGCTAAAGCGAGCTTCATGAGTGTTGCTTTTTCGCAGTGCGCCGGTGATTGCTAAGTAGCACGCTCAACAGGGCTGACTTGTTGCAATCAACATCTATAAAAGTACAAATGTCGCAGTCGCGTGCGTAGGAGAAAATCACACCTTCACAGCGAGATGGTGCATGCACCGCGCCTGGTGTGTGTGAAAAAAAAAAAAAGAAATGAAACGGAAATTTTGTGAATTTTGATACCTGCATTGCAGTAAAATTTTAAAAATTAAACTGTTCTATTATGCGAGAGTATGTTTGGCACAGATGCCCCAACAACCTTTGCTCATCATTTGAAAAATTTTATTTTTTGCTTTAAGTTTGAAATTGATGAAAGGATATCTGCATATAGCAAGATTTGTAAATCCCCTGTATTAGGTATAGCTGGGCATCTCTATAGGATTCATTTTATGAAAAAACAGTTAGGGCGCAGGCGAGCTGGTGCAAGTTTACCATTTTTTAGACCACCTGAGACTCATCAAGACGTCATCGTGATTCATTTTATGTCAGATCTGTCGTTTCCTTGCCATCACATTTTATGCATTGAACTTTCTGAGGACACGGTCCATAAATATAGTGTAATATCGCGAGAGGATGTACCCAAAGGATAACCCGCCCCTATTTTTGGCACAGTTTGCTATTTTTTCAACCAAAGACAACTGTCCTTTCCAGTATGTGACCTACAAAGCTACAAGTTTCGTTGGTCAAAAAAATCTGAAACTAGCATTTTTCAACTTGTTTTTTATTGCACTCTGCTTGCTTTCGATTTTAGGTGGGCTACCTCTTGGGATATTATGGTAGTTAGATTAAACTTAGAAATAAACAAGTGGAAGCTTAGGAACAACCTTTATGAGTTCAGCTGGGTTTTTGTTTATGCACGGTGCAAACGGTAGTGAAAGGCATAGAGAAGCTATTCTATATCTAATTCGAACGTATTCGGCCAAACCCACTATTCGCACATGACTAGTATTTATTTGTCGAACATTGCTGATCTCTGAGCTCAAATTTAGTGATGTCTGGATGCCTCCAACCTAGGATATTTTTCTCAAATTATATTTTTTGGGACACGGTGCTGTGCATAGTGACACGCCGGCTCGCACCCTGGGGTCACTCTTTTCTGGCGGCCTTAACCGACACATTTTTTTTCATAACTGGGGCTTTCTCACTTAGTTTATATCTAAATTAGTTTATATTGCCGTATTTACTCAAGTAATAGCTGCACTGTTTATGAAGAAAACCTGAGTGCTCGCTTTTCCGCGGAGCGCGCAGATTGCCAATCACCGCGATCTACAGCATGAGTTCAGCCGTTTACAGGACAGAGATAAAATTTCCGTGCGTCATATCATCTGTATAGATTGCATTTGTATGGAGAATCGTGTTCTCGATCTGGTTATTCGCTATGTTATTTATGCGCAACGCAGTGATTGGCTGTATATGTGTTCTGTGGAAAAGCAGACGCAAAGCCCTTGTCTATAAATAGTGCGGCTATTACTCGAGTAAATACGGTAGTAATTTGTCGATCTCGGTGTTCTCCATAAAGCGCGTGGTTGAGAGAGAAAGATCCGTCTTTGTGGAACAACGAAGGAGCAGACCGAGACAAAAATCCCCCAAACAAAACTATTCACATGCCATCAAATGGTGTTATTACGAGACAAAACATTGCTCTATACGTAAAAATAGAATCGACAGCCCGGTTGGGAGTTTTAGGGGAACAAGTCGAAACTAAAACCTGCTTGGGGTGCGTCCGAGCCTACTCGGACGTGGCACTCAAAGAGCTAATTATTATCTCGATGATGCTAGCAAGGGGCGACGAAGGAAGGAGGGGAGGGTTTTATAGCTAGGGTTTCTTGCTCTTGAGGTTTAAAGTTCCTAGAGTTCGGGGGGTGTTTTTTCGGTGACTATTCACCGACGGCAGAGGAACGAGGAGAGAAGTTTGGCTCACAAAGAAAGAAGCCGCCTCGCATGTAAGTGTAGGTAAACATTTCTGCGAATCTTTGCGTTTTTTGCTTGAAGAACTGCTTAAACCGGGGGTTTTATTTATTTATTTTTTTTTTTCCCCAATTTCAAGAAAACTGGCTTGGGTGTCACTTTTCAGCGTTTATCGGTGTACACCGACAACGCGGAATTTAATTTACATTTTGCTCAATCTTTGCTTGTTAATAGAAATTTGTTAATAAAATTTCTTCCGCGAGCATTTTTTCTTAAAATGGTGTGCTAGTTACGCAGGATTGTATAGTACCTGTGTCGACTTCGTGGTGCGGGAAAGTAAGGGTTTTAACCCGACGCGCAACACATGTGGGGGACAGCAGGTGCTGTAGTTGACGGCAGCTGGCGTATTTCCTTTCGCCCGCTGACTAGTCTGCCCGGCAGGAGCAAGCAGTGCGAGTCTTCATTTGAAGTGCCATTTTATTCCTTGCGACTAGTTGTTTTGTCTGTGTGGACGTAAATGGCTTGCTAGGTTTATGTCGCACATTTGTTTTAATGGGAGATGGGGATGCCACATGATGTGTTTGGTTTTTTTCACTGCACCGAAAAGACTTGCAACCACCTCCGCATGCTTTAGCAAGGGTAACTTGTATTGCCTTTACCACGCACTGACTCCTACCATTGACATGATCACAACTGGAGCACTGCAGACGAGACGCTCGTTCAAAGCAATTAAATTGAAAAAAGTGACCGGGAGTTGCTGCTGAACGATTCTTAAAGAAGCTAATCCCCTGTCTCTCACTGTTATTTGGGAAAAATTTTGCACCAGAGACGGCAGCATACCCGACTAGCTACTTGAGAGACCGCAACTCGGCGAGGCGGTTTGGAGATGCTGAAACATGAGACGACTCTGGAAAGCAAAACCATCCCGAAACATTAGGCAGCAAGGCAGAAAGTTTGGCGTGTAGGTTCATCATCTTGCAAAGTAAAACAGTGCAAGTCTTGTTTCGTTTTTCGCACTGTTTTATCCTGAAACATTGGAGAGTTTTCATAGATTGGACACTAACGGGCGCGTTTCATGCTTCAAAGTAACGGCATGAGCTCGCGCTAATGATGCAAAGCTCTATCGTACGGTCTCTCTATTTACACTCCAAATGGGTGACGCATCCCACTTGAAGATCAAGAACACACATAGTTGACGGTAGGCAAATCACCGACAGGCTGTTGGGGGGATGCGGCGAAAGTCGGCACATGGCGTATACCGTCACATAGATTGTGCGCCTGGTAGCCTAAGTGCGAGGGTGGAGGTTTCGCCGAACCCGGTACGTCGTCTCTCCAGGGCGCGGTGGCCGCAACGTTCAGGGCCATCAACAACTACCCAAAGCCCCCCAACCTGGAGCCCGTGGTTGCCTCCGAGCTGGCCAGGAGAAGGGCCAGGGCACGACACCAGTCGTCCACGGAAGTCTGAGCGTCTCCCAACCTCGCAAGCCACACGAAGCCAAGGAGGGCCGCCGTGGCGGCGGCGGCCCACACAACCTACAGACATCGATTCTCGCTCCATCCACGTGTCCCGTCGTAGATTCCAAACCCTGCAAACTATTTGCCGTTCCTCCCCACCACATGTCACGGCCGAGAGAGAGAGTTTCACGTTGTCTGCCAGGACATCTATCCGGTAACACACCCTCGACCTCGCAGAACGAAATTGCCTTGCACTTTTCTGTCCTGACCAGCAGGGCGATCGTTCGTGAAGAAGCATATTTGTGCGACCGTTTTAGAAGCACTTGATTTTGTGAGGCCAGATCTCTCAAGGAGGCGGGCTGTTGTACATCTTTTTGAGGCAGTAGGAGAAACATTGACAGTGTAGGCATTTCATACTGTAATGGCGAGGCACAGTTTTGCGTTCTGTGAGCTGTTGTGGGGGTGTGTTACCGTTTGCTCATGTGTCGCGGAACAAAGAGCATTAGCTGTATGCTTGAATGTATATGTGTATGAAACCGAAGGCCCACGGGCATGCATTTCTTTCTGCGCCCCCTGTTACTGCACCGGGTGTGTTTGTTCATCCGGCGATGTTAAGCGACGGTATAAGGACAAGGTATGAATGCGTTGTAAGTGTGTCCTCAGTTGAGGCCGAGTTGCAATTGTGTATGCTTGAAATGTGCCCTCGGTTTGGCTAACCAATTATTGCTTTCAATGTTTTTTGGAGCGCTTAGAAAACTCTAGTGGCGGGCGGGCGGAGATGCCAGAGCTAATCTCTAACATTATGCCACGTCGGGGAGTGTACGGATAAAATTAGAGGTGTGACAAATTGATTTTTAAACATTTTTTTTGTCACGTTTTAGGGCACATGGTGCAGCAGGCTAGAGACAGAATATAGTTTTTGTCCATAATATATATAAGTATGATTATTATTAGTAGTCCCCTCGTACCTCAATCTTCCGTGCCATTGCAAAAACCTGCTATAGGAGGACTGCTCTGTCCATTTGCCTTTTGTGAAACACATTATTATTATTCTTTTTTTCAGTTACAATTGTGTAACAGACACAGAGGCACACATATCGAAGGTTTAGAGTATTACAGTTTTATATCTAAGTATAGATTTAAATGCTGTGAATTTGGGAACGTTGCAGCATTTCTCTTGTTTCCTCACTCTTCTTTTTCGTGGACCATAAGTGGAAATGTTTCCGCACTTTTGAGGCCCGCTCATTCTATGTCTAAGGTGAAGTTATTTAAGATGGTCTCTGTCGTACGTGATAATTAAAACTTTGTTTCTGTGTCCTGCTTTGTATTTGGTAGCTCAGGAAATGCGACGGAGTCCGTGTGGCTGTAGGGGGAGAATGGCGTTGCATATTTGACATACCCAGTCAGCCATGAAGATGTCAAAAAGAGGGCATTGTCTTTGCACAGAGTACAGGAAGTATTACTTCATTTTGTTCTTGCTTTTAGCCCCGGGTTTAACTGCGACCTGGACCATTTGAATTAGCGAGACATTCCTCTTAGCTGCTAGCGTGCCGAACCAGCAAAAAGACTACATATTACAAAAAGACGCCATTATAAGTCAATGTCGCTTAGCACTTTTCTTAACGGGCTGTGCGCACCAGCGTGCAAACCGGGTTGTGAAAACATACTGCACAGACTAGCCAGTGTGCTAAGTGAGTCACGAATCATGCTGTACATATACACAATCACTATGTTGCACACTCAATCATGCAGGAGCGAGAGAGAAACGTAGCATCCTTTGCTTTCCACTGTAGTCGGGTAGTACCGCTCATTGCCGTCCGGGTAATTGAGGCTTTTCTCGTACTGAACTTCGGATGTTGTGTTCGTGAGCGTAAACAGTCTTTTCTTGCGTCGTAGCTTTCCAAGTCGATAGTATACTCTTTCAGCTTTTGCAAATGGACGGTGTGATCCAGCCAGATGTATGCAAACTGCTTTTATTCAAACTCCAAATTGAGTGAGGTCAGATGCCAACGAATACAGAGAACCAGTTTCTCTTCAATGATGCCTCTTCTCTGTTGTACAAATCTAAGACGAGAGTAAATGAATAACTAGCGTAGGTAAGTGTATGTCCGTAATATTGCTGCTCCATTTGTCTGTAAGTACTATATTGTGTGACCAATGTGATTCTATTAATGGACGCGATACTTAACGAGTACATTCTCCGTCTGCCGGAACGCGATGTCTCCACTCTCATAGGTTGCTTCCAGATTTAACTGCAAGATACAAGTGCTAAATAATAAACTTTGATACGTTGTTGAAGCTGCAATATTTGTCATTGTCATTTCTTGAACACCCGTATACCTCCCAATTCGGGTGTAAAATACCAACTATAAATGGCATGAATCATTTTGGGATCTGCAAGCTTCAACTGTCTTTCTTCCATTGAATCAAATAAAACTTGAAAAAAAGCTAAATTTATTTGGGGATAAAAATCGATCGTTCTTCATGATCTTGTTAAAAAAACATTCCTTTGAGATAACATTTACTAGGACACAAGAGTGAAGAAAGTTCCACCCCCGGAGACATCTGTGGCTGCCATCGGCTTCCCGACAATCTGTGGGGTACCTGCGCAATTGTTCTCTTTGCCGAAACCTACAGCCCATTTTAAATCTAGCTAAAGCTTTTGCTCCTACTTCAACACGCTCGGCCACCAACCCCCATCATTATTTCCGAACATATGCGTGGCAAGCAGGATTCAGCTCTGCTGCTTTGTGGCTCCAAGACTGCACCTTTTCTTTGTGGCTCATACATTAGATGTAGGGTGTCGTATTTTCAGATAAATCCGAAAAACACTCGCCGGTAAAAGTTTAGTCAGTTCGGATTTATTCTATAAACTCCGAATGTTGATGTGCCAATGCCCCCCCCCCCCTCCTCCCCCCAAAAAATGAAAAGAACTAAATAAAGACAGTATTTTACAATTAAGTTTGATCAGTGCACAAGGTCAATGGTCCCGGGAAAATGGCACCGCAATTAAAATCTCTAACCATTGACAAAAGGAATCTTGCCACTTGTCAAGGTTCAGGATGACATGTCATTGTACTTTTGGGAGATGACAAATGCCTCTTTATTGGTTTCCAGTTTGGGCCATACCACTTGTGTATTAAGAGGAAGCAGAGGAGGTGTTTTTGCAAGAGTGAAAGCCATGGAGCATAGAGATTGCATAAAATTGGGAAGAGGGGCTGTTGAAACTTCCTTATATCAGTTACCACTCCACCTTGGATGGGATGAATTAGTGACTCTAGGATTAACAAGTCTTCCCAGCAACTACCTCCAGGAATTTATTTGTTAGGTATCGATGTTTATCGAAGCCACACATTTGCTACTTTTGCTGTGGGACAAATTTGTGTAGTAAATGGCAATAGCACCAACGGCAAATCTAGCTGAAAAAATGTTCATATAACTGCAGTTCATTTTTATTTGTATCTAGCTTACGTTTACACCCAAATATTATTTATTTTTTATAGGAAACGCTGCAAATTAAGCTCGTAATTTCTGAGATCTTGGAATCGAACAAAAATCCAAAAACACCAATCCTAATTAAAATCCATTCCTGTTTAGGCCACGTTGACCTTGTCCAGAAGTTGCTGGGAAGACAAGGCTGCAGATCTATGTTGAAGTAAAGGGAGAAATACAAACACAGAAAACCCGTTTATTTGTTCCCGGGGGCATTGTAGAATCGTAAATAGAACAACGAAAGTCGTGGAATGTGCGGCAGGAGGCTTGGCTACTTGGTGACACCAACTACGCCACAGGCAAGGCGGGCACCAGCGTTGCCAGTGGTCTTGCTCAGCTCGTGTCCTCCCTTTCCAAGGTCGTCTGGGTCAGCGTGAATCTATAAAAAAATTTTTTTTATGAAGAGTTTCTTGCTCCAACTATTTGAACAAAAAATTCTACCGAATGAAATAACTGACTGCAAGCATTGAAACAGCAAATATTAAGACGACCAACTCGGGAACAAGACTGAAGATATGAGAGCTGGCTACAATGTTTCCACAGTACCACCCTACTACACACTACCTACAACGGCAAAGCTGCCGAGGCAGAATGTTCACAAAGTGACGACACCCTATTCATGTGCAAACAATGTGCAGTAGGGATACTTGCCACGACAGACCGTCCAATAATGCTGTGCGGTCCAGAAAGACTGATCTGGGAATCAGTGATGGCAACCTTGGCTACACCGTCGTCACCAGCAATCACGTTGCCCAGGTCTCCGACATGCCTGATGAAAAGGACATAAAGACAACTTTGAACCTCCTAGATGTGGTTCACTCTCCAAGAATACATTGAAATAAATGAAAGCCACTAGTGGATAGATGCATCCAATGATCACCGACGTCGACGATTTAGACCTCCACGTACTCGTAAAATAGTAAGCAAACAGACCTAATGAAACATAGCTACAAACCACAGAATTGAATTAATGTCTACCAAGAGGGCCTTTCCAGTGGAAGCGAACATGACACTGGGGGCCCTGTTGGGCATTACACTCGAACATTTTAAATTTGAATGACAGGTGGGACATTGAATTTGGGCGGGCAAACGGGCAGGTTTGTCCCACCCAAATTGGGACAAAGGTACCCATGTTGCCCAATTTGGGTGGGGCAACATGGGCACGTTTGACAGCACCCAATTTTTGTTACGATATTCTCTCAGCTGCGGGATAACTGGAAAAGGCAGATATTGAATTGCTTATTTGTACAAACCGCAGTTCCCGTTCTAATTAAAAAAATTCTTCAATCAGCTGAGGAAAAAAAATACTGGTACCATCTGGTTTGTAAGTTTCTAAACTGCGACTATTGACTCCCATTTTCTCACAGATGTGCACACGAGCTTGTGCACTAACCTGTTTGTGTCGGTAGGTGCACCATGTTCTTTGCCCAACGGATTGAAATGGGGACCCGCACTCGTGCAACCTAAAACAAATTGTAAAAAAAAAAAAAAAAAAAAAATCCGTTAAAATGGATTTGAACTGGCTGGCCCTCATTTGCAACAAGCGTCACCGAGAGCTCGTCCGTATAAAAATAAAATCAATCATAAACATGTAACAAAAAAATTAATCACATTTGAAATTTTGCCAAGATAGGGAGGGATCCAAACATACCGTTCGTGTTGTCCCCAAACTCATGGACGTGGAAGCCGTGAAGGCCTTGGTCCAGGCCGGTGATTTCCCCCGTGACAACGACTGGCTGGTTCGGGCCCTGCGACCGTATGGTTCGCAATCTCACTTTTCGGGTGGGTGTGTCACGTCTACCACACTATTTTGCTGCGACGCCCGTTCGTTTTATTTATCTAACCATATCATTTCACCGAACCAAGTAAAAGAAAAGTAACTCATGCAGGAAAACAGTTGCGGGCGCCGGCCTTCCTCCAAGGTAATCGTGCCGTGCGCAAAGCCCAGACTGGGTGGGGGGAAAACACTTAACAAAATAATGCACCCGGCGATAAATCGAGCGTCGAAATAGCATCAAGGTCGAGACGCATTTTACCCATTTATGTGTTCTTTCCTGCAAAAACAATTCGACGTGTTAATACGCAGGTTAACAGCAAGCAGTACAGAAAGTCAGCTGATGGGACGAGCTCCCCGCCCAGCTCACCGCTTGAGTGAAATAAACGGTTCCGGTGGTCTTCTCCGAGCCCTTGAGAACACAAACAGCCTTTACCGACATCGTTACTGTAAACTGAGACAAAAAAACAACGTTGAAATAAGTTCCTCAACAAGCTACAAAACCCTCAGGCCGAAATACAATGCACTGAAGATACCAACGCACTACGCACACTACGCACTTGTTCCCGGCCGTACACTGCCTTTTAAATGAATAAGAAAAGTTTATCTCGTCGCACACAACTGGTGCTTAACGCTGCGAAAACAATGGCGCTAGTGTCGCTATAAAATTATGCCATTAAATACTAAACTTAAATAACCATTCATATTTATATTTAAAAACTTAGATATAAAAATGCATGGCTTACAATGGGACAATTTGGTTAAAGTTTGAAAGTTCTGTTGGTGCTGTTACGTTCGTGTTGTAGTTTCTTATGCATCGGCAAGCAACCATGACGTTTGTATGGTGGCGCCATCTTTTCGGCTCGTGCACGACGTCCATATTGTATTCTGGTTAGTACGTCTGCGAAGTATCAGTAAATTAGCACTTGATTTCGTCACAAAGGTACTCGTATCATGCCGAAGAATAAGGGTAAGTACTCCTTATTGACACCACTAGTAGTATTTATGCACGAACTTGGTGGTTCTACGGCTGTAACACCCTCAAATCGAGAGGTATGCGACGGCTATTCAACCGAGCTCTATAATAGTGCGCAATGGCCTTTTGGAAGGAGAATGATTGCGTCTTTTTATTGTAATTTTGGTTTTGGAACGCGTACGACGACGTATTACGAAAGGTGTTTACTCTGTAACTAACGTTCTTGACGGGTTCAAGATGGTATAATACTGGAAACCTGACTTGTGTAACCAACTTTCCCCTTGTCACCCGTGTAGGATTTTTTTTTTTTTTTTTTGCAAGCCTAGATATTTTTAAGCTTTTGTTTACCATGAATCCTACACTCGTTTCTTTATTGTTGTTTTTAGATAGTCATCTGGGCGCTTACCGACGACGCTGGTGCCCGGTCACTGTGCGTCACCGATGCTTTACAGCGTTAACCTTCCTTGTTGTGGGAAAAACCCAGTTCAGTGGAACATACCGCAGTCTAGTAGAACTCCTTCACGCGATAAAGCGAACTCGTTTGTGTGTGGTCGGTCGGACGTTTTTGACACGGAAACCGTCGCATTCCGTGCTTCGATCGAGAGGTGCCACTGTCTGATACGCCTGACGTTTTCGTCGCCTTCCGCAGGAAAGGGAGGTAAAAACAGGAGGAGAGGGAAGAACGAGAATGAGACCGAAAAGAGAGAGCTCGTCTTCAAAGAGGATGGTCAAGGTAAGAACCTGGCCAGTATTCTTTTTTTGCACTTTGTTGAGTTCCATGGTGAACTTTTTCTTACCTCTTTTGATGTGGTTTCCCCTCTCGAAAACAGAGTATGCCCAGGTGATCAAGATGCTTGGGAACGGCAGGTTAGAAGCCATGTGCTTCGACGGCATGAAAAGACTCTGCCACATCCGAGGAAAACTGAGAAAAAAAGTGGGTGTTGGTTCGGCCCATTATGAGCTGATCACGTGCTTGAACTAACCCCCTGACTCTCCTTGTTGTATGGTGTCCGTCGGACGCCATGAGATGTGTTGTTCCTGTCGAGCACAGATCACAATACCACGAAGGCAAATGAATGGTTTCAGAGGCTTTTATTGGACGGCGTCAGCCCGGTGCACCCGCTCTTGGTTCTGCTGCCGCACATAGTGTTTACAGCAGTCTTCCATTTTGTGAAACTACAACTTATCAATCAGTTGCTGGGAAAGGCAGCTTTCACAGTACAGCGCCGAATGGTGAGAAAGCTAGGTGCCGGCATGCGATCAGCAGTAAGGGTGTGCTAGACCCCGGAGTTTTGTGCTGCGAGAAAGAGCTTCTACAAAATGTGGAATGATACCTCGTGCTTGTTTTTTTGTTTTTTTTTCTATCTCGGGCTTTTGTCGGTCTAATTAGTTTGTTCTGAGTAATGTGCGGTGCTCGTCTGGCAGGTATGGATAAATCAGGGAGACATCATCTTGGTTGGTTTGAGAGACTACCAAGATGCCAAGGCGGATGTCATCCTCAAGTACAACCCAGACGAAGCAAGAAACCTCAAGTCCTACGGCGAGCTTCCCGAGCACGGTAAGGACGGCGAATTTTTTTTTGATCGAGGGAAGGCTCTTGCGATCCTTGTTGCACAACGAAATGGGCATGGGTATTTACAAACAACTGATGCTCCTGTCGAAGGAGATGGTGCAAATGCTTTCATGCTGATGTCACAAGCTTTTGTAGGGGCCTTGTGGCATTTGGTTCGGCATTGTCGTTCCGGGGTTGGGACCGTGCTTCAGTGTTCCTGTTTTCTTTTCCTTCAGCCAAAATCAACGACACTGTCAACTTTGGCGAGGAAGAAGAGGACGACAACATTGAGTTCGACGAAGTCAGCGGGGACGAAGACATCGAAGGGGTATGTTGGCGATCGTTAAACAGTCATTTCAGTTTCTGCTCGTTCCCTAGTTATTTGTGTAAGGCAGATATTACCATAAAATCTCTAAACAAGCACCCACCCACGGTGAAAAAATAGTAAGGGAAAAGATGCTAGTTGAGCAATCTTTTGAGGGTGTGTACACTTTTGAGGTTTTACGCTGGTGGCGTTGCGGCTGACCACATGACCAAAATAGTTCTGACACCAGTTAAATGTTGAAACCCTCCATCCCTGACAACTTGTAAGTCTATGGAAGAGAGAACAGAAAACAGTAAGAGGGACAAAAATGGCTAGTTGGGCTAGTTGGTTTTGCATCATGGGGTAATACGCCGCGTCCTGTCCAGTTCTCCCTTCGTTTCCGTCCTTGTTTTGGCGTATTACACCATGAAGTTAGAGGGACACATGCACGCAACCCTCCAACAACTGATTTCTTACTATTATTATATCACGCAATAAGTATTAAGGCAGATAAAATTTTATATATAAATACTAGTAGGCACAACTGGCCCAGCAAAATATGTTGGAATTTTTCTTTTTCAGAACATCCACTGACATAATTAATGTTTGATGTAATGTCTGTCGTAGCTTCATAGGCATTGACATGCTTGCCTTAACTAAAATCTACTCTTTCTATGAGTAGGAGACTTGGTCTCTATAGACCTTATTCAGATATGCTCACCACCTGTCGAACGTTGTGCCAATTTTCTTCTGTAGCCTTAAATATGGCGACCTATGTTTGAGGTGACTGACAGAGCGCCGCTATGGGAATGCAATGCCACACTGCTGCTGTGTCTCACTGCGCAATCAACAAAGAAATAAGAAGCCAGCTAAAGTAAATATACGGATTATGTTAGTTTTTCTTTTCAACTGAAGTTTTTACAGTGAATCATAGAATAATTGAAGCGTTTTAATTAACACTATCCGAGTGGCAAAATGGCAGGGCCCGTGCCGCCTGCTTCTACTGCGGCCCTTGTTAAATTATCTTGATATATGAAGCTCACCATTGCTGCATTAATGGCTGGTTAAGGCTGCTTCCCAGATTTGTGCCGGTTGCATTCACAGCAACCAAAACGACGGTAACAATAAAGACACCGGGGCAACTGTGGCCAGTTCTTTGATGGGGCTACTTCTTGCATTGCTTGTCACGTTGTGTGCGGCAAACAGTTTTCCCGGTGACTAAATTCTTGGTGTTGTTTAGGTCATTGTGAACAAAACCAATGCAACTTTCTGAATCAGGCATGCTAAGGTAATTCATTCTGAAGTACCTAACGCCTCCACCACATCCCAGAAAGACAACACTGTATTATCTAGTTGGAGAATGTTATGCAGCAAGAGCGGGGCGGTGGAAAAGCCTCAGAGGGCGGTGGCTCGGTACTTCACGTGGCCGCCGAGAGATGACGCTAATAATGATTAAGGTCTATTGCTTGTAGACATACAGTGGCCGATCGATTTTTCAAACTTTGCAGGGACCGAAAAAACGTCCAATTATAATAGTAGATTAAAAAACTTGCCTTTATTACGTCTGCGGGCTTAAAAAAGTCGTCAATAGTGCCTTCCTTCAGGTTACACCTCCGTACTTCTTTTCTAGCGTTATGGTCTAGTACTTTCCGCGCCCCTTAGCAACGCTTCACGGTGGCGGTAGAACCAGGGGTGGAACGGCTGCGCCATTTGCGCCATTTTGCGCCAGACGCATATGTCTGCGCCATCCTGCGCCATGTTGCAGAAACTGCGCCACAGCCAATACCTCGCGCCATTATGCGCCAGATCGCAAAACGTGCGCCAAGAAACTTTTTATTTTGTCTTGGTTTCGGTTTTATTGACTCGATTCGCAACAATGAGCGCGTTCAGCCTGGTCGGCCTTGCAATCCTTTGTTCTGTTTATTCTCCCTGTGTATCCCAAGTCGGAAGCGCGCGAAAAAACTCGGATTCTAAGCGCCACACCACCTGCGACTGGATTGTTATTCTTCAACCATAAGCGGTTAAGCAAGTCGGCTGAGGTGAGGTCGAGTCGTTAAGCGTCAAATTGCCTGAGGCTCTGCGGCCCGGGATCCGGACGTCAGCCAGTTGAAAACAAATGAGCAAGATATCCCTTTTAGTACTTCATCGTTAGAAGTTGGAACCGCATTATCGCAAGATAAATCGTGATTTGATTGAACTGAAACGCGGTCCGATCCGAAACCTTGCCGGCTAGCAGCTCTTTTGCGAGTGATAGATCTGCTCGGCGTACTTTAACCTTGCTCCTGCTTATCGCTTCAAATACGATAACTTCGTTAATCGTAGTCTGCTGCTTCGTAATCGAGTTGCACAATAGGATAAACGCGAAATTCGTTGCCCTGTTCCTCCGTGCAACTGCACGTCCATTGCTTGCGCACGTCACGGGGTTCGCACATATAATTACTATGTCGAGCACATGTGGGTTGTGCGATAAGCAGTGCTGGTTTGCATTTTGAGCAGCTAAAAGCCACTCGGAAAATATCAAGGATGCTATCTTGAGAAACAGGGTACTGGCTTTTTGATTCTCATTAAGGCTCACCAAGTTTCAAGTTTTCGCATCTGTTACACTGTTGTCCCATCTACCTAGGTCCCTAACCATTCATGTTCATCTGTTCTGCTAAGTACGATTGAAATTGCTCCCGTGCTTGTCTAAGACGCAAGCTGAAGTGCAATGAAAACTGATCTGAGCTGCTCCTAGCCTGCTCCAGAACGTAGTTTTAGCTGCTCCCAACCTGCTCCAAAACAGCTGTTTCAGCTGCTCCCGTGGCTGCTCCAAAGTACATTTCATGAGTTCCACCCCTGAGAACAGATGGGGCCATGACGTCTAGGCCAGCGTAGTCGGAAAACATGATTCACCGAGACAAGATGCGATCTACAAGTCCACGACTGCAGAATGGCAAATGAACAAAGCGAAATGGTAAAAGTGATAATGACGCTCGGCTAGAGAAAAAAGAAAAAGCTGTAGCATATCATCACCTAGCGGTAGGACTTCGCAGTACTGATGTAGCGGTGCCAAGCCAATCCATGTGCAGCTTACGTAGAATCTAAAATCGCGCCTTCTTTGTGGTGTTTCCTGGTGATTGCTCGCGATGATTTTAGAGAAATCAATCTTTCGGACTTCAAGCTGTCAAACGCTGGTCGTGAATATGCGCTATTCCTATCGGGTAGGTTACAGTTCCTCCTTCATGTCCGAAATATCCAACAGGTCCAAATTACCGGTGTCTGAAAAATTGGGTAGCGAGTGTGTGAGCAATTTCTTGTGTGTCTATTTACACTTTTAATTGAATTCATTATGCATATGGATCCTCTGGAGCTGCACAATGCCGATTTTGTATAATTTCTTGCCTACATTTGCGATTGAGTTCTAGTAACTTTTTTTTTAAACAAGGCTTTCAGGACTCGGATAGACTTCTGACGTTATGTTGATCTGTTCACACTCTTGCATGGGACCATTGTGGTTACTGCTAAAGTCACTAAATGTTCCTGAGTACCAAACTCCATCTAGTCCGCTTACCGGGAGTCAATCCTTTAGAATCCAGTTCTGATTGGGTGGTTTAGCCTGCGGCGGAAGTTGTCGGTTGGTCATTTTGGGGATAGACCCAAAACATACATAAAACGTTTCTGTGTCACTGAGCGTACGGCGAGTATGCACGGATGGGAACGCTAAGTTTCGATAAGTTAGGACCGAATGGAAGGTGCGCTGGATTTTCTCTAGTTTTTTTTTATATAAAGTAGCCGCTAATCTGGTTCCCCAAAGAAGATTGCCGGGTCGTTTGCTCGCTTCAGTTGCGATGGTGCTGTGTTTCAAACTCTATGCCTCAGACGCTAAGCCTAACACTCAACTTCGGTAAGTTTCGAGGCAAGAGAGAGAGAGACGAGGCAGCGAGGAGCAAGTCATGCACCACTCAAAACAAAAAAAAAAAAACAAAAAAAATTTTTGATTAAAAAAAATAAAAGTGTTGCCATGGACCAGAAAAGTGGATTAAAGAGCTCGCACGAGAACGAACTCTACACTGTACGCTCTTCGCTTTAACCACACTGGGCAGCGCCGTATTTGGGGTGGGTTTAAGCGCTGCCACTTGGTTCTGAAACGAAGCATGGGAGTTTCGGTATTCTGGGACCATTCAGTGACTCTTGTTACCACTAACTAAAGTGGCCAGTTCTCATGGGTACATTTGAACTTCACTTCATACTTACTTCTTTTACGTGATTATCCTCTTATTTCTTATTACTCTATTCTTTTTTTTTTTGCGTAATACTCTTTCTGATGCTATTAGGATTGGTTTTTGATTAATTTTTTTCTCTTGATTCCAGATTTAAGTCATCGCTGTGGGCGCATTGGATGGTGTCAACGTATCAGACTGTACCGGCAGTGTTATTTGTAACAAATCAATCAAGGCTTCAAGTTCCAAGTGTTCTGCCAGCAAAATTTATCTTCTTTTTGTTCCCCAGTTGTTTGTTAAATCAAACTAATTAAAGGTAATAAACCATATTTATTCCTTTGTATTTGGTTCAGAAATATGCACTGGGCGTGTCTGCATGACTGGAGAGAACGACTCTTGGGGAGCAGTGCTAACTCTTTGAGGAAGGAGAATGGACTATGTGCTTTTAAGGTGTTTACTGAAATTAGTACATAAATAACAACATGCAAATGCGACGTTTTAAATGTATGCATAGTTCGAAATTGCTTTTTTCAGTTGATCACATTCAAGGTGTGATGGATGTAAGGGGTAAATTTGTGATACGTTGCTTTTTCCAAGTGGCATGTCTTGTTCCCTCTGGGGTTGATACCATGAAGTGTGGTTGGGTGTAAACAAACTAATTTCAACGCTACTGCTGTTGATGGAAATGGCACTGAGGTAGTGTGTGATATGAATTCACTGATTTGTTTTGCTCACCTTGAATGCAATTTCCCTATTCTGCTGTTTTGTTCTTTTTAAAGCTTACCATTTGGCAATTTGCTAGCATGTTTCTACGAAAGGAATTTGCGGATTGTGGCCGAAATGAAATGTGTAGTATCTATCTCATACCCGTGCCTCACGGGCAACTCTAATGCCATTTACAACGAATGACATTTGAGCGGACGGCCAATCAGCGCGCGACACTCCGGGCGTGGCGCATTCAACGTGCGACAGGTTGCGAGCTGATTCGCCGTTCACACAAATGCCATTTGTTGTAAATGGCATTCGAGTTGCCTGTGTGGCACGGGTATAAGCTTGTGCAACTGAATGACATACATACTTCGTTGTTTGTAGTCTTGGCTGTAAATTTTGAACATTTTGGTTTGTCTTGTATGCCATGAAAGTGAACCTTGCAGCAACCCTGAAACTAATTTGCTGTAAAAAGGTGATTATTTGCCAGTAATAAAGTTCTTTTTCCCCCATATAGCTGGATTAAAAGGCAGATGCAATATTTTTTTGCTACCGCTCTGTCGAGATTGAAGTGAAATGCGAGCGTTTAACAACATACTTGTAAGGTAGTAGACGCCACCTCACATTTCCATTTTAAAGAATTATTAGGGTGCAGTGTTGAACTACTTGTTTAAGTTTCCCAACAACAATTGTTTCATTCCAGTCCAATTCACGTTTTCGTAATAAAATAAATTAGTTTTTTTTAATACTTCAAACACCTGGGGGGTGGGGAGCACTTATGATTACGATTGTCATAATTGGAGATGTTGCCAACCCACTGACGTTCGAGTACAACCATGTTCGACTTAGTATTCTAAATTTTAATCCCTAGTCAAAATTGCACATACGTTAAAAGAGGCTGGCACAGCTTGGCAGAAAGGGTAAATTATTAGAAACCTCTATGTTTGCTTTTATATTGCGTAAACATTGGCAAGTAGTCTCGGATTTAAAGCACCAATGTGGCAGGAGAGCGGCACTGGGGCCCCAAGGAAGATTCTGGCTATGCCTCTGGAGTCGTGGATCGTCACGCGTGACTCATCGGTGCGCAACACCAACCTTGGTCCCCAAACGGATATTTACAAGGACATTTGCGATAAGTAGTGACTGGCGGATGTTCATACTGAAGATGTCGCCTGCATAGATGGAAAAGGTGACATATTGAGCTCCCGGCTCAGCAACACTTCCTTTGATTTTCTTGCTCTCAAGACTCTGACTGACTGACTGCATAGATGGAGAAGCGTCTATATTTTTGTTGATGTCTGTTGTGTTAGGTCGGAGTAAACATCTTTAACCATGAATTCTCTCTCGGCTTTTAGAACACTTGCGAAAAAACGAAAAAAGTGATGCTATAACCGGAGTTTAAATTTTCCTGCACTCTCCAGTGGTGCGACGTCGCATGTATAACTTCCCAAGTCAAGCGGACAGTAAGAAAAACATTTGTGCATACATTTTTAATTTTTGTTTTTGTTCCGAGTTAATTCAGCATTCATTTTACGCCGCCAAACTAATTGTATGCTGCCAAAAACAAGTAATGCTCCCATATTGCTCCATATTACATCTGACGTCACCAGTGGTGCAGCCAGGATTTTATTCGGGGGGGGGGGGGGGGGGGGGGGGAGGAGGAGGAGGGGGAGGCGGGGGGGGCAATAGCACCGTGCCCCGTGCAAGACGAGCACCGGGGGGGGGGGGGGGGGGCGGGGGGGAGTTCGACCCCCTTACCCACCCCCCTTTCCTGCCACTGGACGTCTCGGACCAAATTTAAAACCAAAAATTTTGTGAAAAAAAAAAATTGTGACTTACAATTTGGGTTGCTAGGAAGGCAAATCGGCGACTTGTATCAAAACATAGACTTCAACAAAATGCTTATCTATTAAGTTGATTTCCGCGATTTATGCACGGTTGGCTTTCTGCTATTAAGCTCAAGCTCTTGTGGTCATTATTGACATCTCGGGATGTTGCAGAAATGTGCTCCTGCATTTTTATCCAATTGTTGCACTCTTGTACCTAGCGCACGATACAAAGATAATCTCTTTTTTTTAAATACCTACTACGTTACATTCGTAGTCTTACGCTACCAATGTAACAAGCCTTTTCATAGTTGTAGTTTAACGTCTGCGGCAACCGATAACGTCGCCAATTTGAAATTAGTAAAAATCAATAGACCGATCTCACCAGCCAGTTTGACTACAGTGTACTAGAATACTTGGGTAGTGTTGGGACCGGAGCGGCTCGGCAACGGGAGCTCGTGAGGACGCGTGTAATGACAGTTCGTGGCGGCGCTGTAGTCGAGTTACCCGGCTCGCGCAGCCCGCCTTTTTTTTTATTTTTTCTCTTTCAGCGGTGCATGTAGCGAAAGCTAGGAGCGCGAGCTCATAGCGTTGGCAGCTGCCCTTGGTGCACAGGAGCTCGTGCCGCCGAGATGTGCCCTAGAGCAAGGAGCTCGCGCTTGTAGCCTTTCTTGCGGTTCAACACAAGGTGAAACAGAGTACAGGGCACGTAAAAAAAATTGGTATTTTCAATTTTTCTTTTTTTTTTTTTTAATTTTTGCGGTAGGCAAAGGGTTAATGAAATGTTTGATGGGCCATGTTGCAATTGCAGCTTTAAAGGGAGCCATCATTAAAGGCCAACTTAATTTAAAAAGTTCGCGAACAAACAACGAGCTTTGAGTGAAAGTAACAAGGCGTTCGTTTTTGTTGTGTTTGTCCGTCCATTTTCGTTTCTTCCTCAAGCTTAATTATCTCTACCAACCCGCTCGTTCTGTCCTGAGATATTCATCGCTAAAATTTTGCCTTTCTTCACTTAATTAAATAAACTGCGCGCTGAAAGCGCGAATGAGGTTGGGCTGATATTGATTTCTGTCCCCTCGTCACTAACTCGACAGCGTTTCTTCGGTGGACTCGCCGGTGCCACACATCAAGACGACTAAGTCACTATTCTACGTATTATTTTCATAACGCGGTTTCTGAATCAAGCGAAGAAAGGCAAACTTTTACGATTTATTTTGCGAACCTCGTTGCCTTTTCGCGAATTGTCGAAATTGTATTTGCCTTTAATAATGACTCCTTTTAAAACTGCAATTGCAGCATGGCCAATTAAACCGTTAATAAACAAGTTAACTAACAGATCTTGGTTCATTATTAAACATTGCAACGGTTATTCGCCCATTCATTGTCCACCGAACCCTACAGATATAACGAAAGACAGCATCCACATATCTGCCACATCCTTTTTTTTTTTTTTTTGTAAGATATGTAAAGTTCTGTAAAGAATAAAACAAAAAACCCCTGAATGTCTGCGTGAACCAGATACGCCCCCTGTGGAACCATGGGTGTTTTCCTTCGAATACCCAGCTCAGGCGAGACTTACCTGATTGTCAGAAAGCAGCTGTCGGTTAAATGTATTTTTGTGAGCGTGTAGGTTTCAGATGGTTTACCCTCAAGAGGATAATGCGCTGCATATTGTAACCATGTATGCGCTGCACATTGTAGCCATTATTTCAATGCCGTGCTGTAAACTATTACAACTTTTTCCTTGCCTGATCTACGTGTGCTCATGTTTTCTGCTCAAAATGATGTGAAATAGTTTCTTGTTTTCTTTGAATCTTATAAAGCATTACTTGTTCAGCCCACATTGTCTCAGTCTTTGGACTTAAGTTAAATGTTAAAACGCGTGATAAATATTGTCACGGCTTATAAGCCATTTCTTACAAGTGAACGTCGGGTGATTCTCGGATGGTCGTGGCAGCCACGAAGAAATAGAAGATTCTCACCCCTTTGCGACCGTCGCTTGGGTGGTTCGTCGCATAAATGGACACAAGAATGAGTGACAAGTGAAGCGAGCTGATTAATGTCAAGAAAAAGAAGACGGGCAGAAAAGAAGACAGAGAAGTTAACCTGGGGTATTAAAAACATACTAAAACAATCTCGAACTTTAGTATGTGCCGTTTCGTTCCGTTATAAAATAAAATAGGAAAAAAAAAAAAAAAAAAAAAAACCGCTTCCTAGTTTTAGATATCCCTTTCAAATATCTAATGTTCGGCATTTGCGACCAAGGAAATGGGCATTTCATTTAAAATGCTCACCATCCGACAAACCGAAACCGCTTCTTTAAAGTCGCAATTGTTTTTATGTAAAGGAAGGGTAATGTAGCTTGTACCGTCCAATACATTGAAGCATCATGTTGCTAACGATCGTGCCGCAGCGTAATTGATGCCGCGGTACGACCGCTGGCAGGTCGTAGCTGTATCAGAAATCCTACGGGCGCTCCACCAAAGCGGCACCAAAGATTCATATTTTTGCGCGTGCAGCCGCGCATGCGCACACCTTCCGGATAAGGCGCCGGACGCGACACCTGTCGCGATCAATACCACGCGCTTCAGGCGAGCCCCTTCAGTCCCAACACTACCCAAGTACACTGTAGTTCGACTGCGCCACCGCTGCCGCAAAGCATCGAGGGAACTTTAGTCTTTCTGCGCGTGCGACAACCTCGCTGGAGCTCTGCGCGTGCAGGCCACGAACAGTCTCGTGCACTGCGGATTGCCTCCTGTGAACTAAAGTTATGGCTGCCTCGCGCATGCGTCGAACGCTTGGTGAGATCGGTCTATTCAGCCTAAAAAACGCCTTGACTATCTAGCGGCCAGACGCCGTTGGGATGAAGGCTTCTTTGCGCAAGTGGGTTCATTTTCGTCTTCTGCGCATGAGAAAGGAAGTAGCGGTGACGTCAGAACGCCGAGCCCTGATTGGCTGATCGCGACCCCCTATCTCAGCGTCGTCTGCTCCTTTGCAACGTCGTCTGCTCGCAACGTCGTCTGCGTCTGTATTACCTTTCTTGCGACTTTCGGAAGTGCAGCTCTCTACGAACGTGCTCGACTTCGCCTTTCAGAGAGGGCAGACGAAATAACTCGAGCGGTACGTTGTTTTTCGCATCAAGGAGGGAAGTCAAAGGACTCACTGGCAAGGTGTCCCGAGGCGCCGAGGTTTGTCTGCTAAGAACAGAGAGTGAGCGTCCGCAAGTTCCCTCCCAAATACTTTTTCCCTCCTTTCGTGTGCGGCGAGACCCCTCATTCTTCAACGGCGTCGGCGGGTTGGCGCAGTTAACGTTGTCTGCTTTATGTCTGCTAGTCAAAGCGATGGCTGCTTTACCTTTTCTGCGTCTGTCGGAGGTTCACCGCTTTTTCACCGGCGAGAGTCACCGTTGCCTCGGGAAACAAGGAGATAACAAGAGGAAAAAAATTGACCTCTTAATCTAAAACTGAGGTCAGCGACCAAAGTATAATACGGGAAGGGTTCACAAGGGTCGCGGGGGCATATTCTATTCAGCACACTAGCCGTTCGTGGGCAGACGGTCGCCGAGTCGCGGAGTGCCTGCTAGGCCTAACTGCCGTGGTCGCTTGGTCGCGTTCGGTGAAATCGTGGCCGTCGGAGCTTTTCCCGGGTATTTGTGGATCCAGCGTTCTTGTTCGTCGTCGTCTGTTTC